TTCGGCCTTTTCTTCCTTTTTCTGTCTGTGGTGTCCATGATCCTGGCCTTTTGTGCTGCACTTGCTATAATACTAAAGTCATATTCATATTGGGTGTATAATCGGCTCATTATAGGAACCTTCATATTTGGGAGCATTCCAGTTATGGCACTCGTCCTATCACAGCTCGGCCTCATATATGAGATTCTCCGCACTACAATACTAAATCCCATCGGTTAGGTAACAGTAGATCTCCATTCGAACATAGTTTATGAAACTCTGATCCCATGAGAGTCATTTCTTTGAGAACCTTAATGTATTGAATGTGGGAATTGGGATAATACTACTTTTTCATTGAGCAAAAGAATGACAAAGTACTCTGTTGTAATTCTCGCTGCAAATGTGAATGTGTAGCGTTTACCCTAAGTAATCCGTATTCTCTCATGTTGGGACATAATTAATTTGGACGTTTAATTTTATTTTTATTTTGTTTAAACGAAAATGTAAAAAATAAAATAAAATAAAATTTACGTAAAACTAAAGAAACAACTATCGACTAAGTATATGATCCAAAATATTTTAATTTGACCTGGTCTCCCCAGCATCCCTTTGCATATATTATTCTTAGGATTTTTGTCCTGCTGTTCCTTCCTCAAATTCACTCATTATTCTTAGTAATTATATAACAGCTATAGTTTTTTTTTATTGTTTTATATTTTTTTACGTTTATTTATTTATATTTTTCTCTTATCCGAATAAGAAAATGTTTTAAACATGTGAGTCATGATGCCTCTTCATGTAGGTAGAGAAGTTAGTTCGTTGATTAATAAGATCGTCTCAGAGGTACAAAGCTAAACCTATTTATTGAAATAGGTTTTTAATTCAAAATTATCTATTCAATGATTATTAATCAGACTCCAAATAACCATATGAGAGAGAGAGAGAGAGCAACAGAATTAAAAGAGATGAACAAAAAAAGAAAGATGCAAAATTTTGATGTTTGATTAAGGTTAGTTTAAATAAATTTATTAATAACTGTTTCTACGTTAAAATTAAATTATGCACTTCCATTTTTTTATTTAATTTATTTAAAAATTTTCTTAGAAGTTTTTTATTATATTTTTATTCATAAAATTGTCACATTTTTTTATTTGTTCTTTTAAAGTTTTGTATGAAAAATACTAAAATAATATTTTTATTATTTTATCCTAAAGTCAAGAGACAAAAAGACTAATTTTATTTTTTATATAATATTTTAAAAATAAAAAATTAATTTTAAAAAAATTACACGTACTTATAATTAAAATCTAAAAACAAAAATATTGTTTCAATCAAGTAGCTCCTTAGTGTTTCTTATATTAAAAAAATATAATTCTTAATTTGTTTTTGGGAATTATTTATATTTGTTTAAATAAATATGATTCTTGCATTGTATCTAAATTAACTAAAATAAACATGCGACCTTGTACAACTCAGATTGTTTAGTTTGATTCGTGTAATTAAAGAAGAGATTTTAAATAAATGACGACTATAATTAATTGATAAAAAAAGGTTATGCAATATTTTTAGATGATTTCCCTAAGTTCATTAAACTATATTTTCTTAGAAGTAAAGATTAGGTTTTTGAATTATTTTGCTCAGCAAAAATCAAGAGAAAATATCTTAAATAAAAATGTTTAAAAAGTTAGATTATCTAGATAGAGGCAAAAGCAAACTGATAAATAAAATTTAACATAATTGATATGTAAGGTTTTCAATTTTTATCGAGTATTTGAAAAAAAAAAAACTTACTAAAAGAGATTAATCTTGTTTTAATAATATTTATGCTTTTAAATGGTTACTTATTAAATCTCTAGCAAAGCCAATTTACTGATTGCTTGTTGGATTTCTCAATCTGCTATAGATTACTGATTCTTCAGTATATGAAAAGTTTGCCTCAGCCAATGCGCTTACCTAACTGTTTTACATGAGTATGTTGAACCTTCTTAACTTGCCAAAAAAGGAACTGAAAAATAAGTAGTAAAAGGCTGTTGGTTTTTGTGTGTTTGAGGGGAGGCGATGCATGTGTTAAGTTACGTTGGATATTTAGTGTTGCAGCAGTTCCATAACCGGGGCATAAAGCCTTTTTAAGAATTGATAGGCATAGTAAAATTGATCTTTCCCCTCTGGAGGAGAAGCTTTGTTGTAGCACCAATGCCTGATTGGCATCTTCACCCAGGTGTTTGCGGATAATATAATTATTTCATTTTGTTCCTCCAGCTTCTTCATTCATTTTTGTTTTTTTATTCTTGTGCTTGCCTCATTGTTTGATTAAGTTACATTGTTCCCGATCAGAATTATTTTACATTTAGTTTCTTTCCAAGTAAATTTTTTGTTCCCTTCTTCAGATAGGGAATTTATAACTACCCATTGCCTTTTTTGACATTTTCACCTGGGGAACACACATTTCTGATTGACCTTAATTAAAAACTTGGAATACTGCTCTTAATTCTTGTCTGAGGCCTGATTTTAAAGTTGTATCTCGGAATATCAGTCTCCTCACACCTCTTGTTTTAATATACATATTTTTTGGTTAACTTTTAGGATGAAAGAGAGCTTAAAAGGCAAAGGCGGAAGCAGTCTAACAGTGAATCTGCCCGCAGATCCAGGTTGCGTAAGCAGGTGATGGAGTACCCTATAGCAATTTCCTTATGATTGGTTGATCATAATTATCACATATCTAACTCCTGTTTGATTATTATTATTTTTTTAATTTCTTTTCCTTTTTTCAGGCTGAGTGTGATGAGCTAGCTCAGCGTGCCGAGATTTTGAAAGAAGAAAATGCTTCTCTCCGGTCAGAAGTAAGTCGAATCAGGAGTGAGTATGAGCAGCTACTCTCTGAGAATGCAGCTCTTAAGGTGATGCACATTTGAATGGTTGATTCAGCAAAAGTTATCCATAGACCTAGATGAACTGAGTTATAACTAAATAATGTACTGTTGGTTTGAGAAAATGTTTTTTATTTATTTTTTCACTTTTAATTACAAAAATGTTGCTTTATTTTTATTTTGTTTCCTATTTTCAAATATTTGTATAAGAAACAGTAAAAACAACCTATTATTATTTTCATTGTTTGACTATTTCCTATACAAATATTCGAAAAACAAAAATATAGTGAAAATAATGTGGGATTATTGTAATTAAAAGTGAAAATAGAAAATATTTTTAAAAAAACTAAACGAGCGTAACCTACTCTACTCTGCTAGAATCCCTTAATATCTGAAAGATTATGGGAAGACTGAGCATACTGTTTAATAAATGCAGGAGAGACTTGGGGAACAACCTGGGAATGATGGTCTTAGGTCTAGCACTAATGATCAGCATGTGGGTAATGACACTCAACAGAGTGGGCCGACAGAGGCCGTGCAGGGTGGTCATTAGCATTACTTACCACTGAATGCTGCATTTCAGGGAGATAACCTAACTTAATAGCAAGAGCAACATCTTGTTCCGGATAGTTTCTAGTTCAAGTTGTATTAAAGCTGACCATTTAGTCTTAAGAGATGTTTATGCTCTATGATCCTTCATTCCTAATTTGCCTTTTTTTAACTCATTCAAATCAACCTGGATTGTATGTAGTGTGTGAATTCTGTATCGTCTGCAGCTTCAAAGTTAGTGTTCGCATTCAGCAATATAGTTAAATGAACCTGGGTGTTGTCCATTACATGGTTTCTGTACAAATAATTTATCGGGAAAATAAAGAAAAGAATGAATATCTATGAATTCTGTATTGTTGTGCCTGTTATCCAGTCGAAACTTTGAAACACATTCGGGTAAATAGTTTATCGCGAGTGAACTGTCATTTTTCTCTCCAAGTTTTAAAAAGAAGAAAAAGTTTGACAGTAATGTTTATTTTAGGAGTTCTTAAAAATAAGGAAGAAGGATTTTGAGTTTCTATAAATCCTTTAAAACTTTTGTATTTAAACTCATATTCTTAATTTTTTTAAATATAGGTTGATAATTTGCATTCTTCTTTACTTCCATTATCCTTCAAATTCTTCTCCCTCTAAATGTTAAAATTAAACCTAGAATTTCGTTCAAGATCACTTTAGGCCGAAAGGAAAAAAAGAAGGGAAGACTTTTAAGTAACCTTATTATTTTGACAATTTTTAAAAGTAAGGAAAGACATTTAATTTAAAGATTTTTGGATGCCTTTAAAAAAATTAACATCTGAACAAGTGAATAATCTAACTTTTTTTTTCCTTTTTATCTTTCAAACTCTTTTCTTTTAGCCCTTCAAAATTACAGACTGATTTTCATATTAAGAAAATGTAATATCTTAATTTGTATTTTTGGAATTAATAATATTTTTAAAAGCAAATCTGATAATTACATTATATCTAAACATGACCATGTATAAAGCAAATATGAATTGCATTATTTAATAAAGAGTTTAAGCAAACAATGACTAGAATTGATAAAAAAAAAATGTAACATTTGTATAAGATTTTTGTAAGTTCATTAAGCTATCTATAATTAGACGTATGATGCTTTTGAAATTATTATTTTTTAAACATGAAACAAAAGTAGAAGATTTGCTAAATAAAGAGATTAAACGGGTTAAATCAAATGCGGGCAGAATTTAAAAATGATATCGGGGTTGGTAGACAGTTAGGTTCTTTTAATGTTGACAAAATTTTGATTTTTGTTATGTATATATATAAAAGAAAACTTTTTAAAAAAAGTTCAAAATAATTAAGTCTCTGTCTATCAACTAAGAAGTATCTTTCGCGTACACAAAAAATTATCGATTTTGTATACCAGAAAAAGTGTATAGGATCGATCTCTTGTTTTTCTTATTAGATCACACTATTATTAATTATAATATTTTTAATCATTTTCAGTGTCAATGTCCTCTTGCCTTTGACATTGGTTCCAAAGTATGGCCAATTTGAATAATATATTCTACAAAGATACTAGTATTCATGTCCACCACAAACATAGAGAGTTCATATATATCATTTGAGAATTGGACACATCAATTAACCTGATCTTATTGTAGATTTGGAAATCTCAAAGATAAGGCGTAGCTGTGCTGGTACAAGAACAATAACTGGAATACTCGCAAGTGACATGGCTGCTATTATGACTCGTCGATAACCCTTTAGCATCATACCAAGTGCAGCACAAAAGGTAATCATCATGAACACCACAGAGAAGAAAAGGAAGACAAGAGCACAAAGTAACTTCAATGGCAAGGTCTTGTAGAAATCTTTCTCAGCATAACGTGAAGTGAGAATCCCAATGAAAATAAGGACTGAAGTGGCAGAAGTGAATAGGGATATTGCATCTGCTATGATAAACAAAGTAAATATCGACTCACCCACAAACATGGGAATTCCAGTGTTTTGATCGTTCCCACCTGGAACAGTGAAAGCTGCTGCAAACATGATGGTAGTGATGAGAGTACCCACGAGAGTAAAAGAACTTGCTGTGTCTTTTGCCCATCTTTCACCCTCTTTCACCATCTCATTGTGATTTTCAGTAAATATCTCTCGAGGCTTCTTATCATCTTTATTTTTGGTTTCCATACACTTGGGATGTACAATTCTCTTCACCTTCTGCAATGATTTCATAATTGAGAAATTACATTTGTATAATTAATTTGTACAATTTTTTAATAAATAAAAAGAGAATTAATAAATAAAGATTAAAAATAAAATTATAGAAAATAATATAAACGATACAATTCTTTATAATTGGCTTTTTAGAACGAAACATGAATGCAACCTATGTTAAATAAACATGATCAAGGACATGCTAATCAAAACGAGGTTCCCAATATCAGTTTTTGTTACATTCAATACAATGAAATTCAACCAAGGATGATAATCAGTTCCATGCATTTACACTCCATATGCTTCGATTGTAGTTTTAACTTAAAAAATACATTTGTTATCAAGTTGATATTTTTACACTATCTTACACTGTGATGTGAAAATATTATAATTGTTTTTAACAAGTAATCGGACAATACTCATTAAATTTGTTCTTAAACAAATATAAAGATTAGCAATTTAGTATAATTTTTGTATTATTCGAACCTATATGGATCCACAGTTCTCATCACTAAAGAAAGGAGTAATCAACATCAAATATGATCTTCTAATTAGTCTAAGGTGTTTGTCAGTTAACTTCGTTTTGTAAAATGATATAGCAGCTATTATGATTACTTTGCACATATATGCATATAAAGAGAGAAAAGGTAAATGACCTTGAACCATTGAATCTCTCTTTGCATTTGCACAAACGAACCGGATTTGCTATGAAAATCAGAAGAAGGCCCTGTATATCCTGCCAGGTGCAAAAGGGTATTCCCAAATTCGTCTTCACTACATTTAATCATATCCTTTGGTCCCTGTAGATCCTCTATGAGTTCTAAGACCTCTTTTCTACGATTCAGAATTGCATGTGAAAATACACCCCTTTTATTTTTATCAGTGGCACCCCATAAGAGGTGAGGTTTAGCCTTTACCATTGCATTTATGAACTCAATAACTCCAAGCTTTGCTGCCTGCAACATGGCATCATATGCCGAAGCCTCTCGGAGCTCATATTCATTATAATTCGAAATTCTTTGGCATAAGCGAGACAATATTTCAGCAACTAGACAATGGGTCATTTTCTTTTCATGTATACCCCTAATTGCTGGGAAAATTGGAGGGACTCAGTGCTGAAGTCATTAAATAAGAAAACAACACGAAGATAAATAACTGGCTGGAGTCTAAATTACGGTGTATGTATTTTGATTAATGTATTTTTTAAAAAATATTTCTCATCATAATTTAATTTTTCGCGTATAATATTATTAACAATTTAATAGGATGCATATATGAAGAAGTTCACTTCCTAATTACGTACCAGGAGAGAGCCGAATTATATAATTTTGAAATAACAGTTGAATAGATTTGAGTTGTCGACCTGTAAAAACAACAAAAGGGGAGAATAATTCTGATCAACTTATATATAGGTATATATGATGGTGGAATTCAAAACCAGCATGCTCGATATTAGCTGAGCATAATATATTATGGTTCGAATTCACCCAACTAGCAATGCTAAAATTTTTACCGGAACTAATAAGACACATTTTCAATGTGCAATTTTAACTTATTAATAATATTTTACTTGAATTTAGTCACTTAATTTTCATTTGTTAAAATTATGCTCTTTAATTAGTTTTTCTCTAAAACCATCACATTTTTTTTAAAAAATTTAAAATTCTCATTAATTAAACTATTTTTTAACTCGTTTCACTTAAAATTAACCTATCAAGATGTTGTATTTCACAAAAAAAAAAATCATTTATTTTCATATTTAAAATATTAACCTCATGCCACATTTTAAAAAAAAAAATTGATCATTTTTTTTATTTTTAAACCTTTTAATTTATTTTTAGTCTCAAAGTTGTAGACCTCTAATCATTTCAATTAAAAGAACAACAATTAAATATTTCATATATATATAAAAAGGAAGCAACAAAAGGATTGGCACAATTAAAAAAATAACGCATAAGTCGTAATAGAATAACAACAAGAAAAGGGAAAAATCTTTTATTTTATTTTTTCATTACAATAATAACAATGAGAGCTAAATTTATGACCTAAATGACATAGGTATTTCATCATTATTATCCCAACCATAATTTTGAAAGAATTATCCCTTCTTAATTTTAACCTAGCAACAGTTTTCTATTTTTTAATCAATTAAATATCAATTATTATTTACTGTTGTCCCTTTTACAAGACACAATCCATTAAATTACAAAAATAAATAAAAAATAGTTGATTAATTTATTTAATTTTTAAAAAATATTATGACATAATAATTTTACTTTTATTTAATATTATTAAACCTACTTTCATTATTAAAATTTATCCTTATTAATTTTAAGCTAAATTTTCACCAACATCATTTGTTATAAGTAAATGAAGAAAAATAGAAAATTCAATAAATATTTTATAAAAACTATAAAATGCTTTGTAAGAAAATCATTAAAATTTTCAAAAATGTATCTTGTGAAAATGATTAGGAAGAATATATCTTTACCCATAAACAGCATATATACACTTGAATCGTAGATAATTTATTGAATTAAACTTAATGGTAATATATTAAAATAGGTTACAATTTGTTAGAGAAGGAATGAGAAATATACGCAGACCTAAGAAGGAAGTCTCATATCGCCATTTCTCTTGAGCACCCTTTACCTCAATCTCAATTGCTTTCCCGTTGGAGTCTTTCCCTTCTATTTTTATTGTTTCCAATATTAAAACTGAAAACAGAAAAAGATTATACGTAAGTTTTTCATTAATTCTAAAGATGAATCAAATTGATCAAACGGTTCCAATCCAAATACAACATAACCATGCAAAGTATGCGGAACTATAGCAATCAAATATATAATGAAAATAATGTAGTCAATCGTCACTTAAGTGTTATAAAATTTGGCAACGGTTACTGTCTTCGAAATGAAAATCTTCAATATTAATAATCTATTCAAACATATCTTATTCTAAAAAATCCCAGTTTATAAAGAGTTGAAAAGAATTTCCATTTATATTATTAGAGCAGCAGATAACTAAAAAAACAAATAATTTACTATAATAATCTGTGATTAGTTTTGCGTTTATTCGACATACGCACACACTAATATGAATTGAGGTAGATGAAACCCATTTAAGGAAAAGAACGTTACCGAAAAAGAAAAAAGATACTGATGATTTACATTTGGTTAGTTTCTATTAGTATAAATTTTATTTAACAAAAAACGAACTGTTAGTGTAAATATCATAACTTTACACTAAGAATAATATATTGATAAAATTTTAATATTAATAAAAGTTATTTATAAATATAATATTTTATAAAAAAAAAAAGGATAAAATGTGAAAACTTACCTTTGTAAACGAGTCTTTTTAGAAGTCCATACTCGCAGCCACTTGGAAATGCAGAAGGCATGCCAGCCAAAGCATATAAGGGTCCTATATCTTCCTGTAGCCTCGCTTGATCGCCGTTTAGAGGCAGTTGCGGGTTTTGATGCATCACCATCAAAACCACGTCTAGCATCAACAACCATCACATATTCTTAAATCATTTTTCTCTGTTTTTTTCACCATTCTATGTTTTAAAAGCTATTCTTAAATTGATTCCAATTTAATTTTTTATTGAAATAATTAACTCTGTGGAAAATCTAATTTTCTTACCAAAAATTTGGGCGGTGATACAGCGTGTAAGAAGCAAACTGGCCCTTGGTAAATTATCTCCACGGAAGGCCTCGAGCGGAGTTTTTTGGAAAAGATAGTGAGTCATTTCTCCGTGGCATTTGGAAGCAGCAAGAAGAACAGGGATTTCACCTTTACGGGTTTCCATTGTTAGTAGCTTCTCTCCTCCTCCACCCTTCATTTCTACCATTATCTTTGCTATCTCTGTGTTTCCGGTTAATTTTGCAGCGAGAGCAAGAGCCGTGTAACCGTCCCTGTCTCGCATTTCTGCTAATTTCTTTTTCCCTCTGTTCACCAAATTATTCACAATGCGTTCATGCCCTGCAATCACCGCAACGTGCAGAGCGGTCCTCTCTAAAGCTGTGGTGGAAAATATTAACATTCTGTCCTTACTATTATTCAGGAGTGATTTTGCTTCGTTCCACATATTGTTCTCCACATACATGTGAACGACACCACCACCCTTACCCTCACCTGTCATGTATAAAACCATTGATGTATGTTCAAATTACGGTGTTCAAAAAATGTGAACCTATACTTTCAAATCAGTTAGTTACAACTAATTAATGTGTGACATGGTGGGTTACGAACAAATACCACATCTAACGTCTAAAACCTTGTTTGTAAATTCAACTTGAGGAAGAAAGGAAGAGAAAAGAAAAAAAAATTTTAAGAGATTTTTTTTTTTCCGTTTAAAAGTTTTAAAAATAAAGGAATTACTTTTTTAAATATATTTTTTGAATTCTTTTATTTTGAAAAGTTTTTAACATAAAAAACGTCTAACTTTTATTCTTATTTACTTCTTTTCTTTATCCCTACTTTTCAAATATTTTACCTTTTAAATTTTCGAACAAACAAAACTTAAAATAAGGATAAAAGGACAAGAGATATAAGAAATGAGGATAAAAATTGTTGATGCAGATCGATTTTTTTTAAAAAAAAAAAGCTTTTATAAGTTAAAATTAATTTAAATGAAACATATTTTTACACAATTTCTTAGACGTTCTAATTTGAAAGAGAATTTGAGAGAACGTGAGAATCAATCATATTTTTATTGTATTATATGTAAACAAGCAATCGTGTAAAAAATGGTGCAGTGAAAATGGTGTATAAATAACTTGGCTCTTTGTATGTTTTTTTTTTAATTATAAAAAATATGAGTTCTTTTATAAAATCACAGGAACATATGAGAAATTTTTAGAAATTGAGAAGAACAAATTTTTAGTAAAAATATTTTATTATTATTTTAAAAATTATTATGAGCGAGTTTTGATTTTTCAAATTTTTTTAAAAAATCTTTATTGACAATTTTTGACAGATTATAATTTTTTATTTTTGAATTTCTGAATTTTTAAATTTTATATTCTTGAATTTTTTTTCAAAAACATAAAATTTTTTATATATTATTTCTAAATACTATATATAAAAAACTAATTCAATAACTCTGCTAAGTCGCTAAAATCAATTTTTTTTTAAATATTTAAAGGAAAAACAAGGGAAGAAGTCCTTGCCCTGCTTCTGCATCTATACTTGTAGATTTATGATAGTTTTGTGTGAAGCAATTCCAACTATGAAGGAAGCGGCACAATGTGTGTAATACATGGAGTAAACCCTTATTTTAATTAATTTTTATAAAACCTATTTTTTGTCACTTTTTATTGACGTTTTATAATAAAAAATGATAATAAATGAGATTTGATAAAGTGAAAATTAAAGTAAAAAAAATGATAAAATTAAAAATTAAAGTGATCGAAAGTCTTATAATAAAAAGACTTGAAATAAACTGGGTTTACTCCGTTTACATACCTTTCTCAATATCATCATCGTCAACCTTATATTTGGAGTTGTATAATGAGCTCAATTTATTCCAAGCGTCTCTGGCCGAACCAGCATCTCTAATGTTAGAAAGAACCTCTGATCCGCATGCTAGTTGAATGATATGCAGAGCCATTGCATCTTTCCTCTTCCAAATCGCAGCAGAAGTTTTTATTTTCTCACCATTTTCATGATTTGGGTCCACAACGCTCCACAAACCTGCTCCCTGTAGATAATTTCGCACAAGTGTACTCCAATTGTCGTAATTCTCTTTCGTCACTGCTTCATGAACTATTCCACTTGCTCCGCTTCTTTTAGCCGCTGCCATTATATTTCTTCACACCAAAAATATGCCAAACCAATTAGCCTTATACATCTTCGCCATTCAATTTTTTAGGAAATATTGAAAGACATACCTTGCAGAGGAATTAACGATCGCGGTTCGGCGTTAAGTCTAACTCAGAAGAGACTGCACATTAAAATTTTACAGAACCCACATGTTCTGATACGCAGAAATAAGAAGATAAACTTAGGCGATGCCTTAATTTATATTAAAGTAACTTCGCAGAGCTAAACATAAAAACAACAAATGCATACAGTTGTAAAGTCACAGTCTACCATTTCATTTTAAAAATAATTTTTTTGTCGTTTTCCTGGACGTGCCACGACACTCAAGTTTCTTTAACAAAAAATAAATTTTTTTAAAATTTTATTTATAAAGTTGATACAAACATGTAATTTATTTTATAAAATAAAATACATGAAACAAACAACTCATTGTTGACCTAACATTTTTTTTTTTAATTAGAAAGACTTCGTTGTCTTTTATATATGAAAAAGACCTCGTTATTTTAATGGATGCTTTATTAGTCTGTTTAATCTAACGTGATTAGCGTTGGCAAAGGAAAATCAACTCTCTCCATTTTAATATATAGATTCAAAAAACATTGAATCCTTCAAAGTTCAGCTTAAGTAAATATAACAAGCATGTAAATTTAATTCTTCTAAAAATTATAACATATATGCTTATAATATATATAAAAATATATTTAAACAGCTACTATTTTCCAAATTTAAACAAATTTAACGTCTCCTCCTTCTTTTAGCTTACGTTCCCTGTTGTGACTGTTTATTTTTTAAAATTATCGTGTTGGGTTTCTCGAAATTTTAACCACAATTAGAAAAAGAAACATGTCTAGCATTTACTAATAAAAAACAGCAAATTGGTCATATTTACCTCCCCGAGTTTCAACCTTCTCTTTAGCTTATCGAGGGAAAGCCCACACCCAGAGTTGTTAGGGCACGTTAAATACATATTTAAGATTGACTTGTAGGATCAACTCATTTAGCCTAGTTTATTTTAAATTTAGTAAAATTATTTTTAATAAAAGTTAGTCTATGTTTGAATTTGATTTTTTTTATTTATCTTTCGTAATTTCTGTTTGAATTTAATATTTTAAAAATATGTTTAAGAGAAATAATTGTGAATGACACAATTCTTCTTTTTAATTATTTAATACAATCATATTTATTAGAACTTAATTTCGAGACTACAGATTGAATTAAAATAATATTTTTTTCAGTTGATTTATATATGAGAAATAATTCTACAGCAATGTTTTATAATTTGATATATTATGATTATTTTATCAATAAAAATATGTTTGAATAAGATAAAGTAACTTTTTAATAAAATTATCAAAAGTATTCATAATATATAAAATTACAAAAAAAAATTTGTAGAATTATTTTTTTTATCACTAAAGATATAGATCAACGGGCATAAAATTGTATTAAATACTTAAAAGTAAATTTTTAATTAAAAAATATTAGTAGACTTTAGAGATTTATATTAACAAATTATATTTTATACTAATACTGATATATTAATAATATATATATATATATATTAAAAATTATTTATAAGTATAATAAAAAAATTTAAATTCTTTTTGAAAATATATTATTTAAAAATTTTGATTTGATATAAAAATTAATTAGTTAAAATTCTAAAATATTATCAAAAAAAATTTACTGTTCAAATACACATGCAGTCTAACAATTTTGAATTACTTTATCATACATAGCATAGCATAAAAGTTATTCAAGTCCAACACAAACAGTCGAGAGAGTTAGCCCTTGCTATCACTTGACAAAGGCCATATATATACAAAATCAGGATAATTGATGAACACATTAATTAACCTGATCCAATTATAGAACTGAAAATCTCAAAGATAAGACGTAGTTGTGCTGGTACAAGAACAATAACGGGAATACTTGCAAGTGACATGGCTGCTATTATGATTCGGTGATAACCCTTCAGCATCATACCAACTGCAGCACAAAAGGTAACCGTCATGGACACCACAGAGAAGAAAAGGAAGACAAGGGCACAAAGTAACTTCAATGGCAAGGTCTTGTAGAAATCTTTCTCAGCATAACGTGAAGTGAGAATCCCAATGAAAATAAGGACTGAAGTGGCAGAAGTGAATAGAGATATTGCATCTGCTATGATAAACAAAGTAAATATCGTGTCGCCCACAAACATGGGAATTCCAGTGTTTTGGTTGTTTCCACCTGGAACAGTGAAAGCTGCTGCAAACATGATTGTTGTGATGAGAGTACCCACAAGAGTAAAAGAACTTGCTGTATTTTTTGCCCATTTTTCAGCATCTTTCACCATCTCCTTGTGGCTTTCAGTAAATATCTCACAAGGCTTCTTACCATCTTTATTTTTGGCTTCCATAACTCCCTTGGGATGTACAATTCCCTTCACCTTCTGCAACGGTTTCATATTTGAGAATTTGTATTTATATAATAAATTTGCACAATTTTTAATAAATAGAAAGAGAGAGAAAAGTATGATATATGTAATATATAAGGACAAAAATAAAATTATAAACAATATTATATAAATAATATAATTCTTTATAATTTGCACTTTAGGAAGAAACATGAATGTAACCAATATTAAATAAACATGATCAAGGACATGCTAATCAAAACGAGGTTCACAATATTTATCAGTTTTTATAACAATTAATACAATGAAATCAAACCAAGAATGATAATAAGTTCCATGGATTACATGCCTAATATTTTCATTGTATTTTTAACATTAAAAGTAATTTTCTTATTAAGTCACAATTCTTTAGACTATTTACGCCCTTTATTTTACGATGAAAAGGATGAGATCAAAACTCAATTAAGACATTTCTTTCAAATTAAAGAGTAGTGATCAATACTGTAAAAAAGTTGTGATGCGAAAATATTAAAGTTGTTTTCAACATGTAATAACATACATAAATATTCTTTAAATTGGTTCGTAAACAAACAGATTTATTAGCAGTTGGAGTATAATGTCTTGATTTATATAACCTATATATCCACAGTTCTCACCACTAAAGAAAGGAGTAATAAACATAAAATATGATCTATTAATTTATTACTATTAGCCTATAAAATTTGTTGTGTAAAATGATCTAGCTATTATGATTACTTTGCACATAAGAAATTAATTAATATGCATGTATACATAAAGTGATAAGAAAAGGTAAATGACCTTGAACCACTGATTCTCTCTTTGCATTTGCACAAAAGCACCGGATTTGCTATGAATATCAGTAGAAGGCCCTGAATATCCTGCCAGGTGCAAAAGGGTATTCCCAAATTCGTCTTCGCTACGTTTAATCATATCCTTCCGTCCATGTACACCCTCTATGAGTTCTAAGACCTCTTTTCTTCGATTCAGAATTGCATGTGAAAATACACCCCTTTTATTTTTATCAGTGGCACCCCATAAGAGGTGAGGTTGAGCCTCCATCATTGCTTTTATGAACTCAATAACTCCATGCTTTGCTGCCTGCAACATGGCATCATATGCCGAAGCCTCTCGGAGCTCAAATGGATTATAATTCAAAATTCTTTGGCAAAAGCGAGTCAATATTTCAGCGACTAGACAATGGGTCATTTTCTTTTTATGTATATCCCGAATTGCTGGGAGAATTGGAGGGACTCAGTGCTGAAGTCATTAAATAAGAAAACAATACAAAGAGAAATAACTGGCTGGCTAGAATCTATTAACGTGTATGTATTTGATTAATAGGATGCATGTACGAGGAACTTCACTTCCTGTTTACGTACCAGGAATGTGCCGAAGTATATAATTCTGAAATAACAGTTGAACCCATATGAGTATTCGACCTGAAAAGACAACAAAAGGGGAAAATAACGCTGATCAACGTATATGATGGTAATAACACTATACAGGGATCCCCTCAAAGGAACAGAATAATCGTATTGGTACCTAATTAAGAGCTTAACGTGAAGGAATTCAAAACCAGTCCACAGATCGTTCAAAAGGAAACAAAAATGCCTACTTCAGATAAAGGCGCTAACGGAATATTAGCTGAGCATAACATTTTATCCTTTGAATTCGCCCAACTAGCGATGCTAGATCTTTCAAAAGAGAGAGGATATTAATTTAAATTTTTGTTTACATTAAGTCAGAAGTATTTCTTACACACCAGTTTCATACAAATTTCTCTAAATCCTTGTTTTGGATAATAGTATAAAAAATAATTTTCATACTTAACATTTATAAATTAATTTTTTAATAAATTATTGAATAAAGTTAACGGTAATATATTAAGATGGTTTACAGTGTTTATGAGAGGAGTGAGAAATACATACAAACCTAAGAAGGAAGTGTCATGAGCAGCACTTAGCACAATCCGAATTGTTTTCCCGTTAAGGTCTTGCGGTTCCACTTCTATTGTTTCCAATATTAAAACTGAGAACGGAATAGATCATACTTGAGAGATCAAACGGATCCAACGCCAACACAAACCATGCACAATATGCGTAACAAAAATATATAATGAAAGGTGGAATAATCTATATATTTAATAATTTATTATACAATCAACCATTAAATTAAAATTTTTTAATTAATTAAAAATGATTTAATTTCTTATTTATAGAAATATCTCCGAATGCAATTATGAATTAACTGTGAAGAAGTAAATAAAAAAGCGTACAATTAAAATTAAGTAAAATAATAATAATAATAATAATAAAGTTGATTAAAAAAGAAAGGATAAAATGTGAAAACTGACATTTGTAAACGAGTCTTTTTACAAGTCCATATTCGCAGCCACTTGGAAATACAGAAGGCATGTCAGCCAAAGCATATAAGGGTCCAACGTCTAGCCTCGCTTGATTGGCGTTAAGAGGCAGCTGCTGGATTTGAAGGATTAACATCAAAGCCACATCTAGCATCAACAACCATCAAATTTTTTAAAATTATTTTTTATTTTTCACCCTCATATGTTTTAAAAGCTATTGATTTCAGTTTTTATATATATATATATATATAACCAAAAAATATAATTTTCTTACCAAAAATTTGGGCGGTGATACAGCGTGTAAGAAGCAAAGTGGCCCTTGGTAAATTATCTCCAACCAAGGCATGGAGTGGAGTTTTTCGGAAAAGATAGCGAGTCATTTTTTTGTGGCCTTTGGAAGCAGCAAGAAGAACAGGGATTTCATCTTTACGGGTCATCATCGTTAGTAGCTTCTCTCCTCCTCCACCCTTCATTTCTACCATTATCCTTGCTATCTCTGTGTTTCTGGTTAATTCTGCAGCGAGAGCAAGAGCTGTGTAACCGTCCTTGTCTCGCATTTCTGCTAATTTCTTTTTCCCTCTGTTCACCAAATTATTCACAATGCGTTCATGCCCTGCAATCACCGCAACGTGCAGAGCGGTCCTCTCTGAAGCTGAGGTGGAAAATATTAACATTGTGTTCTTATTCCTATTCAGGAGTGATTTTGCTTCGTGCCACATATCGTACTCCACATACTTGTGAAGGGTACAACCACCCTCACCTGCCGTGTAGACAACAAAACGATCGGCGTAAGCTTAAATTTATGTGTTTACATAATTTAAAATGAGAATTACAACTAATTGATGTGTGAGATAGTGAGTTAAAAATATGTATATAATTCTGACATATTTAACACTTGTTTGCAAGTTCAATTTAAAGAAAAAAGAGAGAAGAATGAAATACTTTTAAGAAAACTTCTTTCATATGAGAGTTTTTAAAAATTAAAAAAAAAAAAAGAAAGAAAGAGAGAGAGATTACTCTTTTAGTTTCTGTGGAGCAATTCCAACTATTACTTAGGAAGGGGTGTAAACCCTGATTTTAAATTTTACGATTATAAGTTTTAGTCACTTTAATTTATAATTTTATAATATTTTTATTTTAATTAATTTTATATTTAAATGTTATTTTATAAAATGAGAATTCAAGTGAAAAAAACGAAAAATAAGGCGAGTTTACTCCACTTACGTACCGTTCTCAACGTCAATAAGATCAGCCTTTAATTTGGAACCGTACAAGACACTCAAAGTATTCCAAGCTTCTTTGGCCGTATGAACGTCCCTGATATGAGAAAGAACCTCTGATCCGCATGCTAATTGAATGATATGCAAAGCCTTTGCGTCTTTCTTCTTCCAAATCTCTCTTTTGATTTTCCCACCATTTTCAGGACATAAGTTCACAACGCTCCAAAGACCTGCTCCCAGCAGATAATTTCTCACAAGAGCACTCCAGTTGTGGTAATTCTCTTTTGTCAATGGTTCATGAACTACTCCACTCGCTGCACTGCTTTTAGCCGCTGCCATTATCAATTCACAATCTCACCAAAAACATGCCAAACCAATTAGCCTAATTTATCTTTGCTGTGAAACTTTTTTCTCATTTATTTGGATGAGGAAACATTAAAAGACAAGTTTGGAACAAGACAATGTAATATGTATGGTGGTAGTTAAGAAATTAATTTTTGTCGCCTCATGGACTGTTGTAAATTAGAATTTCTTGCAAAAATTGCTAGCGAGTGAAGGAGTCCACATCCCATCCATGGAGTACTACTACTACAAATAGACTACAGAAATGATAGTCTAAAATCAATGAACATTTCATCTAATCCAAAATTTGATGTGAAATTCTTTTTGGCTTATACTTATTAAAAAATCACCTCACAGAGAATGAGAGAACCTTCGTGGTTCGCCGTTTCTAACTTTAAATTCCACTGGACCCCATGGGTTCTTAAACGCAGAGCTTTGAAGATAAACTTAGGTGTACCTTAATTTAGGGTTTTTTTTAATAAGAGAAATTGAAAAATAATTTCTTAAAACATGCTTAAATAAAAATATATTTCGTGTTTTAGAGTTATTTTTACCACGTCATTTTAACACTTTTTTTATTAATAAAAGATTAATTATCCAATTTATAAGATATCTAAGAAGATATTTATTGAATGACGATTTTTAATATTCCTGCTGCTCCTCCCGTATCCATTTTTCATTTACATTCTTCAAGTAACTTTGCAGAGCTAAACATACAAAAGAATAACAAATACATTCTTAAAATAAATATATTACCGTAATTTTTGTTTAAAAAAATACAAATGATTTTTTAAAAAAATTATAAGATATATATTCAGAAAAACAAATAAATATATTAATTTGCTTTGTAAACACCACTATGTTCCAACTTTAAACAAATTTAACGTCACCCTCCTACAGTTTGCTTACGTTTCTTCCCCTGATATGACACCTTAGGTTTTTTTGGTCATGTTAGGTTCATAGAAATTTTAACTACAATCACGAAAAAGAAACATATATTCAGCTTTTACGAATAAAAAAATTGTAATTTAACGTGTATAATTTTACCTCCCAACCCCTTCTTTAGCCTATCGAGGGAAAACTTAGAACCAGAGTTGTTCCCAAGAGCACGTTAAATAGAGAATTCAAAACAAGATTGACTTGTTCTCATTTAGTATGTTTTATTTTAAATTTTACTAAAATTAATTTTAAAGCGTTTATTTATGTTTGAATTTGATATATTTTTGGTCTAAATTCCTTAATTTATGTTTGAATTTAATTTCATATTTTAAAAACATTTTTAAGATATTTAATTTTATTTGGATATAGATAAAGTAGAAATATTTTTGCATAATGTTAACAAAAATAATCAAAATATATTACAAAAATTTGTTGTGGAATTTGATAATAAATAAATATCGTTACAACGTCATATTATGTTTTCTTTAAAGTATATTTGAGAAAAAATTGTAGATAAAAAAAACGATAAATATTCTATTTTAAATTAAGAAAATTTGTACAATTTAAAAATAAAAAATTAACCTATTAAGTTTGTGTTTTTTCATTTTTATTAGAATTATAAATATAATTAAGCAAGTTAAGTTGAGTAGTTAAAGTTCAATTTTGATCTATAAAAAAATATTTAAGTTTTACTCACTTGATTGAACCGGTCTATATATATATATATATATATATATATATATATATATATATATAAAATTAAAAAAAATTGTTTAAAATTTAACATATTAGTTTGTTTATAAATTTTTATTATATTTTTCTTAAAATAAAATTATATTAATTATTTTAGTATTTAATAGATTTTCAATATAAATAAAATAAAACAATGATAAAATATGTTATTTTTAAAAAGATTACTTAATATTTGAATAAAATCTTTGAGAATAAAAATAGTATATCTTTTATTTATATATATTGAATTAAAAAATAGAAAGAGAATTGACAACTATAAATAAATTTTGTTTGTAAAATGTTAATTTTAGTCTTTAAAATTAAAAATAAGCAACTAATAATATTAATTTTTGTTAAAAAATATACATTTGTGATACTTTTATAACTTTAATATTATAAATTTTATATTTGTGAATGTTTAAAAACAGTTGAGATTAATAAAATTCAGTGTTTTAATAACTTTTTTTGGGTGTCTCTCCGTGCTATCGTCTATGGTCCCCTGAGTACTCCCTATACTTGGGTGTGGCAAACGAATTAATATAATAGATCTTTGCTATGATTTTTTTTGTCTGCTGAAATATTGAAAGACAAGTATGGAACAAGAGAAAGCCACATGTACGGTGGTCGTTAAGAAATTTAAGTATTTTTGTCATCTGATGGACTCTTAGAAAATACAATTAATTATTTGGCCAATGTTCTGTTCATCTTGACTTGATAAGCCTATGCAAAACGACAAAGACTTACAATTAACTATTTGGCAAATGTTCTGTTTATCTTGACCTGAGAAGTCTATGCAAAACGATAAAGAAATACCATTAATTGAGCTTGTCGATGGGTTCTTAAAGGTGCTGCCTTAATTTACATTCTCAAAGCCACACACTACCATTTTATTTGAAAATTAATTGTTTGTTTGTTGTGCTGGACAGGCTTCACTATCCCGTCTTCATTAAATTATTATTTTTTTAATTTAATTTATGAAATTGTAAGCATTTTATTTAATTCTTAAATTTAAATATTTTATGTTTATTTTTTATTTTTATTTTATCTATCACTTTAATCTTGCAAGTAACATACCACCAAGACATAATAATTAACAAAATATATCATATAGAATCACCACCCTATTATCTTTTAATACATCATTTTATCGTTTGTAAGGTCCATCGAAACACGAGAGCATTGCACTAACTTTATCCCACATGTTGGCCCCGCCATTGAAGAAAACCTGGAGATACGAGTTATCTTCATAAATAATTTAGATGATTGATTAGATATAGCTACAAAATTTGTGGGATCAACTACAGATATTAAATTGGCTCAAGTATTTGTTTTGAGAACATGAAATGATACTGGCGTGACTGGTTACCAACTTGTTGTCTTTGAGATGGATAATAATTTGATAAGCAACACTAGGGTCTATGTACATTGATAGCATGATTACAGATGGTCTATAGCCATCTATCACCAAAGTTTATGTCATGTGCACTGTACACGAAACGCAGTTATGGTTGTCAATTATTTGATGATCAAGTTGTCTTATATTTATTTTGATTCAATTTCAATCGATGAGACTTTTTTTTATGTAACGCGATTCACGAGTTCCTTTCTTAATATTGTTTTATCACTCAAAACACAAGTTTTTTCTTAATTTTTACTTTAAAAATTAAGTTTAAATATTTAAACTTATTTTTTTATTACAAAAATATTTGGTATATCAAAATTATAGAAATATAATAAATAACTTTTTAAAATTGCTGTTATTGATTAGAAAGCGAGGTTAACAAAATTCTAAAAGAAATTATTTCCAGGAACCCTGCATTTTTTGGCAAGAAACGTAAGCAAAACGTAGGAGGATGACGTTATAGTTTGTTAAAGCTGAAAAATAGTTGTTTTTTTACCAATTAAATTAATATTTTTTTTAAAATACCAAATTTTACATTTTTTACATTTTCATTTATTTTCTAAATTTTAAAATATATATTTTGTTTTGCTTATTTTTTTATATAAAAAATTGGGTACAAATACAATTTTTTCTTATATAATAATGTTGCATTTCAGTATACTATTATTTAATTATAATTAATTTTAGGAATTTGGATTTTCTTTCATTGCGTGGAAATTGTACATCAAAGAATTAAAGTAAAGAAATAGTAATTTTTTTTATACAAAATTCACTTAAACAAATTTTATATAATTTTCATGAAAGGAGAGGAGGCTTGGTGTGGAATGAAGAGGGGATTAAGAATGGAGAGTTTGAGTAGTACACAAGTGGGAGTAAAGAAAGAGGAGGGTGGATAAGTTAGTTATGAAAAAAAAAAAAGGTAGGTATGGGGTGAAAAAAGGAAGAAGAAAATTGGGTATGAGATAGGTGGAAAGAAGAGGAAGTTCAGCTAAGATAAGAGGAGTTGAATACGGAAGGAGAAAAATAGTTGAATATGAAAGTTGAAGAAAGAGTATTAAGCATAGAAGAAGAAAATAAGAACAAAAAGTTGATAGATTTTATTTCATTCATTGCTCAAAATAATATATAAACTACTTATGGTATACTATATTATTCATACATGAACTATTATTAATAAAATAATTTAAACGTACTTTCTACCTCAATAAGTTAATCAATTCATATATTATTATTACAATGATCATTACAAATTATACTATTACACAACATTTTAATATTCTAACTTCATCTTCTAAACTTTCGATCTTTACAATAATTTGCATTTTTCAATCTACATTCTTACGATGTGCATATTCTAAAATGAGATCTCTTGAAATGAATATTGAAAGTAGTTGAATGACTTCTTTTATTATTGCTTCTAGAGAAATGAGTTTACACATATGACAAGTAGCCTTGAAGGAAGAAGGAAGGAACTAATGGAGTGTGAGAAGAAGTTAGGATTCAACTTGGGACCTTAAAAGAAAAAAAAAGATCTTACTTAGTGTGAGAAAAAGTTAGAGTTTAACTTAAAATATTGAGAATAAATAAATAAATATATGCAGAGTGAGAAGAACTTAAGGTTCAACTTTGAACCTTAAAAAGAATAAAAAAAAATTTACCGAAGAAGTTGCAAAATGACATCATTTCAAGTTCACATAAATATCTCTACATACATTTAATGTAACACATCATCAATATATTATTTATTTTTAACCTCTCTTAATATTGGAACTAAAATAATTAATATTTATTATTTTAAAACTATATTTTTTTAATTTATAAATTAGTAGACTAACTTTAATCACATTGCATATTTTAAAGATTAAAGTAAAAATTTATCTTAAATGATGAATAAATATGATCACATACATATTATATTTATCATTCTATACTAGGAAGAGATAGATGCTCCCCCATTTTACGTCGATGCCCATGACTTTTATTTTATTTTTTTATTGTTTTTGGTGAATCTTACAATGTAAAATATTTTTTTTTTTGGGTCAAGTTGCAGTGATCTAATTCACAACGTCGAGGGTATAAGTAGATTGGAGTGATTAATTTTGAGGAAAAAAATTATTTATTTTAGTATTATTAGTTTCTATTAATGGCTTTTTGAAAGTTAAATTTGTTTCATCTAATAAAATTAAATTAAAAAAATTAGATTGAATTAGATATTTTTTATTTTTGAAAATAAAAAATAAAATTTAATATATATATATATATGTATATTTGTATATATAATTGAACAAGAGTGTTTTAGAAATCATTTTAAACTAAGCAAATTTAAGTATTATTTTTGAATTTAATCTTAATTTAAATTTATTTTTAAATTTTAAAAAATATCTTTTAATTTAATATTATTTAACATAATCATATGTTTATTTTTAATAATTAAACCCTAAACCCTAAAAGTATTTATAAATTATTTTAAATTTTTTATTTTAATTTTAATTTAATGATAATTGTGGAACGTGTAAAAATGTATTGATAAAAACTAATTTAAAATATTAAAAAAGTATCATTTCACAAGTTAATTGTTACAAATTTAATATTAAACCATTTCATTTTGGATTCAAACTATTGAGAATAACTTATACATAATCACATCTTCCAATTTTATTTTTTTAAATTACGAATTAACTGGTTTGCTTTTGTTGACAATTGTTTCACGAGTGTGTTAAAATTTTATAAGTTTTTCACTCATTTTTTATTAAATATTATTCTTCATTGTAATAAAAACTATATAAATTTTTTAATGAATTTAGAATCAATAAATTCATAAAAATATCAGAACAATAGTTTGTAATGTAGAAAATGATCTCATGAAAACTAAACTGGTAAAATATTTTCAGAAACATCTGTACTTATACTATTATCAACAATTTAATTTTCACTTTCAATTTAGCAGCTAAAAAGCAAAAGAACGGTAATAAAGTCATATTCAAGTTGAAGGAAGTGCATGATTTTACCTATTGACTCAACCAGTGGGAGCTATTAAGCAACAACAATACCAATTAAAACGAAGCAAATAATTTAAGGAGGAAGAAAGAGAAAGGTGAGAAAACTTGTAGATTTGAATCTCAGACATTATTGTATTTTAAAGATATCTCACGTTCTCTGTAAACATAATTGTATTAAAAAATTGAATTAGGTTTGTGTGAACGCATCAAGCCACGTTGAAAGAAAACAAAGGACGCTTGAAGAGTGGCTTTGGCTTTATTTTATTTTGTTTTTATAATTATAAAATATTATTTTATTTTATATTTTTAAAATGTATAAAAAATGTAAAAACAACTTTCAATCTCAAGGGTTAATAAATTTTACCTTTATTTTTATTTCTAAGAAAATTAAATTAAATTTTGTGTTTGCCGGATAACATGTTGTTGGGATAAACATTCATTTTACGTTATATAATATATTGTACATTTTACTTTTGTTGGATACAAATAAAATATTATTTTGATAAATAGTTTTAAAAATATATTATAATAATAATAAAAAATCTTCTGTTTAGCCGATGGGGTCGGCAAGTGGTTGTATCCACGAAGCCTAGGCTGTCGCGTTGACGATTAATAAATCATAAATTGTTTTGTATTTATAAACTTATTTAAGTCGACAGTGGGAGATAGAAGTTTGGAAAATATCGAAAAAAGGAAAAAGAAAAAACAAAGACGAGTTTTTGGTTCGTTAAAAAAACATATGTTATGCGATTGGATAAGAAAAGAATATTGAATTATTAGTATGCTTCTGCTATACTGTATGATTATTATTATTATTAATTTTAAAAATAATTTGTACGATTATACAAATAGTATTTCTCAAAAAGTTTGATGAGGCTGTGCATCTGTTTTTCTTTGTAATTTCCGGAAAACTTTGTAGCAAGCACATTTCCTTTCCTTTCGTCCCTAGCAATGGATGCAGCAGCGATACTTGCCGATACCATCTCTGACATCTTACGATGTAGTGACTCCCTAGCACCTTCAGCAACTCACATGTCGGAAGGAGACCTCAAGCTCTTGAAAATCCACCTCGGAGAGGCCCTTGAAGCGGTTCGGAAAGCCAAACACAACCACTCCAAAGATTCTCAGACTTGGGTGGAAAACGTTAGGGAAGTGGTGAACAACTTGAGCGATTTAATGGAGGATCTCTCTCTCAAGGACACTAATATCACTGCCACAAAATCGCTTCTGAAAGCTGGCCATAACATGGCACTTCGCCTTAAAGCCACGCTGCAACTCAAGGAACTCGAAGCAAAGCTCCAGGGCTTTGTAAAAGTCCTCCCCAACTCAGACCAAACTTTCAAGAATGCATTTGGTAGAGAAAATGAAAAGAAGGAGATTGTAGATCAACTCAACTTGTTGGGTAACAAAAACGAAGAAAGCGCGGTTGCTGTTCCTGTGATTACCATTGTTGGGGACGCAGGAATAGGAAAAACACGACTTGCCCGTCTCGTTTGCGAGGATGACCAAGTCAAAGCTCGTTTTCACATCCCCATCTGGGTTTATGGAATCCACGAAGCCTCTTCACTCGAATCCATCCCCACTCGTGTCACAGAGTCAGCTAAACCTTTCCTTCTTGTGCTGGATGATTTAAAAGCTGAGATCAAAGAGGAATTTCTTGACACGTTGAAGAAGAAATTTACACACGGAGGGGCAATACTCATAACTACACGCTCCAATCCTGTTACTGCTGCAACGGTTAAGGCACATACTGTGCAGTTGCAGGGGCTTAACGAAGAGGATTCATGGTCTCTGTTTCACGAAATTCTTGGATCTTCAAGCAACATCAAAGAAGATACCAAAAGGGGGATTGTGAAGAATTGCGGTGGGGTCCCTGAAGCGATAATAATCACAGCAAAGTGGTCAAATTCTCGTGGTTCCCCCGTTGCCAAAGAACAAGTATCAGCGCTACCAAAGCTTCACTACTACCTTCAACTTCCCTCGCATCAGAAGCTGTGTTTTTCTTATTTCTCACTGTTTCCTAGAGACCATTTGTTTGATTCCGAGATACTAATTCATCTCTGGCTAGCCGAAGGATTTCTTAAGCGGAACCTTTCCTCTAGCAATAATCATCCACGACAAGTTGGGGAAGCGTGTCTCAAAGACTTGGATCGTTTCGCTTTTCAAGACGTGGAGAAAGACGAGTGTGGTGTTGTTAGGAGGTTTAGAATGAAGCCTTTAATGCTTGAGCTTGCAAAGATAGTGGCTGGTGAAGAGAACATCATGCTAAATTCAGGGGGGGACAAAGTTGACCGTAAAGTTTTGCGAGCTTCGTTTAATTTCGACTTCGACGTTTCGTGTGGAATCCCCAATTCGCTATTTGAGACTGCGAAGAAACTGAGGACCATTCTTTTGGTGGCAAAGAGTGATAAATCGCGGCTTCCACACGAAGTGAAGATGAGCGCTTCAACGTGTGATAAGATCTTCAACAGCTTCGAGTGCTTGCGCGTGGTGGATCTCCACGACTTGGGAATCGCGGTGGTGCCAAACTCTATTGAGGAAATGGAGCAGTTAAGGTATTTGGATTTGTCCAACAACAACATAAAGAAGATTCCGAGTTGCATTACCCAACTTTCCCATTTGCAAACGTTGAAACTGTCCCAATGTTATAACCTCAGAGAGCTACCGAAGGATTTGGAGGATCTTAGTTGTCTGGTGCATCTTGACATTGAGGGATGTATGGATCTCACCCACATGCCACGTGGAATCAGTAAGCTGAATTCTCTAGAGACTTTGTCACTCTTTGCGGCCAGCAACAAATACCCATTTGGTGGCCTTGTAGAACTCAAGAAGCTCAACAAACTCAGAGGAAACTTGGAAATTGTACATCTTGAAAAATTGGAAGTCCGTGGAAAAATTGAAGATAATCAGTGTTTGAATGAAAAAGAAAAGCTTCAGCAGCTGGCTTTAAGATGGGATCATTATGATGATGATGATGACGACGATGACGAGGATGAGGAGGAAGATAAAAAGAAGAAAGGAAAGGAGAAGGGAAACAATCAAGACGACAAAAACAAAGACAAAGACAAGGAATCACTGGATTTTCTTCAGCCACATGAAAATCTGAAAGTGCTAATTGTTGAGGGGTACAATGGTCTCAAGTTTTCCGATTGGCTCTCCTCCATTAAGAATCTTGTCAAGTTTTGCTTGAGCGATTGTCCTAGATGTGAATCCCTTCCCGCACTGGATCAGCTCGGACACCTCAGCGTTCTCGAACTTTGGAGGTTAGACTCTCTCAAATTCATTGCTGAAAACCTTGATACCAATCAAAACGCATCATCCTTTCCAAAGTTGAAGGAACTCACAATCTCGGATTGCCCAGAACTTGAAAGTTGGTGGAAAGATGAGACCTATGGAAACGGTAAAGAAAAACCATTCTTTAATCACATCTCGAAATTACATATCCAATGTTGCCCTAATTTAAATTGCATGCCCTTGTATCCTTATCTTGATGAAAAGTTTATCCTGGTGGATTCAAGCGTAATACCAATGCAATATACAATGCATGCTAAAACTTCAAAGGATTCTCCTTCTTTCTCTAAATTGAAGTCCATGATAATTGAGCGCATTGATGTATCTCCCCCACCCACGTGGCTTATAAACTTCACTTCCCTTGAGGACCTTCACATTCGGGATTGCTCTAAATTGGAGAATCTACCCCAAGGATTCAAAAGCATGAGCTCTCTCAGGCGTCTCACCATTGAGAAATGCCGGAATCTTGATCTTGACCGTTCCAGCGAGGAATGGAGTGGTCTGAAGAAACTTTATTCTCTTATACTGAGGGAAATTCCACGTCTGAAATCCCTTCCAAAGGGAATTGAGCACGTTACGTCTCTGAGAGTGCTAGAGCTTTATCAATGCTCGGCCTTAAGTTCTCTGAAGGAAGGCATAAGCAAACTCACTTCACTTAAAAAATTGGTGATTTCTGAATGCAGAAAGTTGGGTTCGTTGCCCAAAGGAATGGAAGAGTTGAAGGATCTTGAAACGTTGAAAATTATGGACTGTCCGTTGTTGATGACAAGGTGTCAACCAGACACGGGTGATGACTGGCCACAGATTAAAGACGTCAAAAATATCGTACTGAGGCAAACTTCTAAAGACATGGGAAAAGATTTCTATTACTGAAATGCTTCAAGAGCGTTACGTTCTGTAGAATCACCTTTTTCTTTTCACCGTCGGGTAAGTGAATTAAGCCTGTATTCTGCCCCGTTGGATTCTGCTTGCATGTAACATGTCTTTTTTTTTTACTGTATATGTACATACATACGATCCCTTTAACCACCCCAATTTATTAGAATTAAAAAATTTAATTAATTTAGTTAATATCATTAAACTTGTAAATAGTTTACGTATTTTTTTAAAAAAATTCACTCTTAATCTCCTTGTATTTAATTAATTAATGTTAATAAGGACTTACTGTAGTTAGTAATGTACAGCATAAGAATAACAACTTTGATATTCACCCATCTTTTTTCCCTTACATCCTTTTTAAACTCCCATTAATATCTCAAACTCTCTTTATTCACCCGTGTTGTTAGTCACTTTTTTTTACTTTACTCTTTTCCTTTTTTATATCTCTCTTAAAAAAGTGTATAAACATATAAATGGGTGTCCAAAAATCTCTTTTGAGTGCCAAGCATACACCGTTCCAATGTTTCATTCTCTTTGTTTGCAAGAAAAGTCAAGTAATTCTGTACTTTTTATTTAAGCTTTTTTTATTTTTTTATTTTTGTTCACATGTTTACTTCAATGCCACTTTCATTTTGTAACTTAATAAAATTGGTCCATGTAACGCCTACATGATTTTAAAGGAATTAGCAGATAACAACACGGATTCTAGTTGTATTTAGTTTTTAGATTGCACTAAAGTTGAAATTAGAAGTTTTAATTTTGGTTCCCTATTTGAATGTTAGGACTCATGTTTGGTTCGAAACTGAGTAATTGTAATGGTATCTCAGTGTCGTCTAGTTTTAAATAAATGAATGATTGTTTTCTCTTTTGTCCAATTGCAGGTATAAAGAAACTTGGGAAGGAGATTTTGGAATGTTGGAAATGTAAAGGTAACTTAGTTTACGTTTGGTAGGCTTGTTTAAAAAAAAAAAAAAAAAACTGCTATTGTAATATAAAGGAGTTGTTTAACTTGTCTGTATCTTTTTCAGTTCGGTGTAAAAGTGAAATTTTTCCAATGGTATGAAGATGATGAAGGGATAAGCAGGATATTGTCCTATTCAAGCAAAGGAAAAGAGAAGTTTCATTTGCCTTTAAAACTTAACTAGACAAAACTGCAGAACGTTAAGGATTCTAATTACTTGTTATGTATTTGAGTTTATGTATTATGGTTTTGCTGCGGACAATTGGTAGTAACAAACCATTTTTAATTGGCACGTATTGAGTTCACTTATTATTGTAACTGGTACGAATTTAGCAGTATTTTCTATGAATTCTACGTAACACTTAAAACTCTTATTTTAATGAGAGTTGATACATGTGGTGTTGTTTGCATTGCTTTGTATTTTGGTTATATGAGAAGATTAACATTTTATCTAACTAATCGTTCATAGACTGTAATGAAGAAAAGAAAAATGATGAAAAACCATTGTTATTCATAATTTAAAGGAACAAATGTTATTCACAAATAATAAATCACCAAACGGTACAACAATAATATTGTTCCCTTTCCATAAAAAGGAAAAACAAAACTAACAAAAATATTACATAATTCCATCTTAAATCTTCCGACACAAAAAAATTACATTTAATCTTTTTCGAATTATCTGTGTCAATTAAGTGTTGTTTCACTTTGCTATGATGCTGTTGAGGTGTTGGCGTCTTAGTTGGTATTGTTGGTCGAGTTATTTCCTCTAATTCACTTAATGTTTTGCTATTACACACGAAGAAGCTTTGCAATCACTGCTCTTAAATTTAAAGTCGGAAGATGATCTCTAAATGGGTTCAATATATAATCATTGCTTCTTTTTTATTTTATGCAACCTTTTACTGATAATATTTGAGTAAGATCCTATTGATCAACGTCTTAGTCCTTAAGATTTTAAAAAATATTTGTTAGTGTTTGATTTGACAAATAATATTTACTTGTCTTTTTCAGTGTAAAAATAATTAAAATGATAACTTTTTACAATGTTAAATACTAATAAAAAAAAATTAATTTTTGACTGACTAAAATATCTTGCTAATATGATATTGAGGTTAAACTTTGAGAGTTTACTCTATTACTTTAATGATACTTTTAACGTTAGAACTAAGCTAATGAGAGGAAAATAATTGTCTAGTCTTACCCTTTTGTTTGGATTTGAGAAGTATAGAGGAAAGGAATAGAATAGAAAATGTAGGAGAAAACAGGAAATAAAAAGTCTTTTTAGTTGTAATAGAGAAAAAAATAAAAATATACATAGAAAAGTCATTTTATTTTTATTTATTGTTACTTATTTGGTTTGATTATAAAGTGAAAAGAAAGAAAATAATATTTTAATATAAGGACATTTCTATCTTTATTCACAATAACTCATAGTAAAATAAATTTTTAATAAATAAAATTTTACAAAACATTATTCAATATTATTAATGCTTAATTCTAAATAATTTGTAATTAAAAATAGTATAAATATTTTAAAAAATAAATGAGAAAAAAATTTGGTCATGATTTCATGTGAGACCACGTTGTAGATTGAGTTGCTTTGAAGAGAACAGAACATAAAAAGTATTAAAAAGAATACATGTAAAGAAAAATTTTAGAGAATGTGAATATTATTATGCATGAGTTGTTTTCGTCAAGAAATATATTTAGTTTACATGAATATTATTTTTTAGTAAAATTAAAAATTTATATCAATTGTATCTATTTCTCATTATATATATATATATTACAAAAAATTTACAATGATTGAGAAGATTCAAATGAATACAGTCCACATAAAATAAAAATATATATAATTATATACATAAGAATATTAAAATAACACTTATGATAAATATATTTTAAAGTAATATAATTATATTGTATGCAAAGATCTTTAAAAGCACTAATAAATGAAGAGTAAATGACTTAACTTTTAATATAATAAAACTTAACAAAAAAAATAGAAGACCGTAAATAATTTTAGAAAAAATTATTAAAAGAAATCTATTAATTTAGTTTTTAAATGAATTTAGTATTTATAAATTAAAATAAAATTTATACGTAAACTATAAAATAACAAAATAAAAAAATCAAAATGAATATTTAAAATAATAAAAAAATTGTTTAAATTTATTTAACTTTAAATTAATATGGAAGAAAATAAAAGAAAAAATAAATCTTATGCTGACGCTCTTACCCTCTTTTTATATTATATTTAACACCTTTTTTAAACAAAAGAACAGTGATCTTAGAAATTGCTCTTTCCTTTTTTTACTTTTCTTTTAACTTATTTAATTTGTGTAATCGGTCGTATTCTTCAATATCTACAAGAAGAAAAGATTATCAAATCAGATCGATCCAAACTGAGATTCTACCGCTTTTTTCTCTGCATATTTTCAATATCTATTATTGCTATTAAATAAAACTCCAATTTTGTTATACAGAACATTTATAATAAAAGGATTACTAAGCAGATACAAACAATATTCTAATGAATAGATTTTCTTTAACTATCTGTGTGATATACCATTTTTGGTTGGACTTGAGGTCGACCTGCATCTTAAATGAATTAAAAAATTCGACACGGATCATAAGCCCACCGGGAAAAAATGTATAAAAAACGGTATAATAAATATGAGTGAACTACTACTACCAATTACGTAAAGAAAATTCATATTTTCATTAAATTGATAACAAACCGAAGCCTGATTATTCAACAGAAAACGAAATAACAGCGTAATGTATTTTGAATTAACTTCTAATGCGGAATTTTTCCATGATATCCCGCATCAAATTTCAATTGAGAACGAAATATGGACGAATAAGGAGGAGATTGCTGGATCCTCCTTCAGAAGAAGATAAACAAATCCGTCCAGTATCAACGTGGGTCCAATTTACAAATATTTGATCATACCACGACCTTCCACACTCAGTTTTGTAGCTTGAAGCTGCCTTTTTTTGGGTGCCCTCAATTGCTGCAATTTCTTATTCATCTGCAGTTGACAATCCACATTGGTCAAATTGAGGTCCAATCTCTACTAATAAACATAACAAGGGGCATAATATACTATATCATAGCTTAAAGAACCACAAAAAGGAAGGAATCAAAACAACCATAAATGGCGGAACTATAAAAATAAGATACCAACCTTCATACGCTGCTGATCTTGGGCAGCTTGTTTTGCTCGTGCTCTAACTTCTTCTGGATCAATTTTAGATTGGGGACGGATCACAAAATCCAAGGGTGTTGCTTCTGGCCTTGATGCATGTTGCCTAGACGATGACTGTCCAGACCTAGGCCTGCATTACAGTCATATATTAGTAATTACTCAACTCACAGTGCTCCACAAGTTTATAAATGCCATTCGAGCCTTACTGTGAAAGTTCCAAGTCAAGGTCACTATCTCTGGATTCCATTCCTGCAGCTTTATTGGCCGGCCTGTAGGATTTCCACAAAATAATATAAATTTAACATCTAACAACAACAAAATCAAATGCTGCTGGAATCAAGCGATTGAAAAAGGAAAGGTATAGAGTACTACTTTTTAACTGATGGCCTCCTGAAAGGAACCCTGTCATCCTCCATATTTCTCATGTCTTCAAATCGTGTACTCTTATTAAATATAGGTCGGCTCTGCAATTATAATGCAAAGATGACATAAACATAAAATTATACTTATGAGGAATAGAACTACTTCTAGACAAAAATAGATTAACTCAAAACGGAGAAAATCCAAGCTTAAATTAACGTCTTCAAGTATCAGAGCTTTTAGTAACAGTAGAAGACACGCACAACATAATGCCCGAACACAACAAAGAAGATCAGAAGACTGCCCTAGCTTTTTTTCTCAGGGACTTAAACACCATATAACTGGAAGAAAATCAGGCAGCTTCATAAGAAAAAAATAGAGTACGATGAAGCAAGAGTTTAATCAAGCACTACTTACCCACTTATCAACCAGATCCTTGGCTAGCTTCCTATTTACACTAATTTCTTCATCAGACTTTGATAAAAACATAATTACCTGTCAATACAATAAAAATGGTCTGAACAGTTACTTCCAATAAGAGGCTACATACAGACATATAAGCTACATTATTAATGGGAACCTAACCTTTCCAAGACCACTCTTCTTCAGCTGTTCTCTTCTATCATACTGCTCTAGGTCTATAGGAAACTGCATAATGAGACAAATGAATGAGATGCTAAATAAACTGGGTGAAAAATAATAATTACGCGTAAAATATTATAGTGGTGTCAACTAGGTGTACATCATTCAAAATCCTCAAAATTTCTGTGCGTATGTTTATATTTGGCAAGCTTCCATCAGGAAGAGGCTCAAGCCAATTCTTCAATAAAGTTAGAACTCCATGATCTAAAAACTCTAGTTGAAGCTGTTTCCTGCAAAATAATTGATGGGGAATTATTAAAATAAGAAAAAAGAAACATAAAAGACTAAGGAAACACCAGTCCGCACACTAATGTGGCAAGGAATCAACTGCGTACTTTGAGAGGACTTCTGTAAGAAGAGGCAACTTCTTGAGTTTATTAATAGCAGGCTTCCCTTGTCTATTAAGTTCAGCGTCCTCTTCAGCTGTAACCTCAAGCTCAGCCATGACATTTTCAACTAATAATGCTATTTCTGCAGGACTTCTCTCATTCTTTTTCTTTTTTTTACCCATCTTGAAAAGATCTTTGATTTCTTCATCCTCTTCACCTTCCTCTGCCTATAAATTCCATGTCACAAACAAAAAGGTATGAAAAAAGCTTTGAATGAACAGTTAGACAAATCCAATAAGTGATTTTCCAGAGAAAATTGTCTCTAACTAAACGATAAACAAGACAGAATAGCATGATTACAAGAAAGCTTAACCTCAGAGAAAACCATTACATATTTCTGACTTAATAACATTCTAGTATGGCAAAATATATATATATATATAGGGAAGAAGTATCAACCTGGGGAGCATCGCCAGGAGAACGTGGCTCATTGTCACTAGGATAAAAACCAGGCTCCACTCCACTGTCATCTATAAAGTTGTCATCATCAACATTCCTGACACCCTCATGATCATCCTATTAATGGACATAAAAAAATCAGCTATCAGAAACAATGACACAAAATCTTATCCACAAACAAAAGCCTGGTTATTAGATAGATAAGTAACAAACAGTCAATAAAATTAAAGCAACCACCGTTGAAGCATAAAGGCCAATACATGTAATCAAGGAAAATCAACCGCAAAGGCAACAATACCTCAGAATCCCCACCAGCAATCGTATCCCACATCTCCTTAACTTCACCATCATGGTCCTTCCCAGCCTTCCCACTAAACCCTTGCTTCGAAGCCCCAAATTTAGACGCACCCTTTCCACCGCCAAACCTCTTCTCCCCCTTAAGCCTCTTCTCTTTCTTCCCACTGCCACCATCCTTCCCCTTCTTCCTCTTCCTCCCATCCCCCTCCTCAGACCTCGCCGGAAAATCCTCCTCTTCCACCTCATCCTCGAGTTCCGGCGCCACCGACTGCTTCCCGGCGTCACTCTTCTTAATTAGCCTCTTTCTCGGCTTCGACCTCGCCGGATCGGTGTCGTACACCGGCGTCTGGGACCGATCACGACCGCGCCAATCGTCGACATCTTCGTCGAAATCGTCGAGCTGGTTCGGCTCCGGAGAGGGTTCGCGATCGGATTGAACGTCATCGTAGTCCATCAAGGGTTCTCCATCCTCGTCGCGATACCTGACAGGACATAAAACAGAAAAGAGGATTAAATCGAATAATCGAAAACCCTAACACGAAAGAAATGGAGAGAAAGAGGGAAACGCACGGATCGTCTTCGTAACCCATTGGAAAAAGGAATTAGGTATGAATAAATGAATGAGTAGAAAGTGAATAAGGGCTTGTGGATGATATAGAAAAGGGAGAAAAGAGAGTATTGAATGAATGGGTTTATAGAGATGTTGCTATGGGATGCGGTGGTAGGAATAGAGGGTTTGTCGAAAACGAACGAGATCAAGAAGATGAAGATGGGTCGACACGAATCTATAATATTATTATTATGCAGTCTCTATTACTATTATCTGTATTACCAACCTTTTATTTTCAATTTAACTACTATTTTATTATCGCCTTCGCACTTTTTCCTCTTCATGGTAATATACATTACTTAATTATTATATATAAATAAATATAAATATGATTATTATTATTATTATTATTATTATAATCTTACTATAAAATTATTGTATTAAAATATATAATAAAATATTTGCTTATAATATAATATTTTAAGATTATGATGTAATAAAAGTATTTCATTAAATTAATAAAAACAAAAATAATATTTTATAATGTATGTTATTTTCTAAAAATTACTCTATTATAAACTGTAAAAAATATTAAGTATATTCTTATAAATTTATATATAATCAATCAAATATTATTTTATTAGTTTACATGAGTATAAATTTATTCCGGGTAATTAGAATTAATTGTTACTAATGTTGAATAAATATGTTTTTAATGTGATATATGTTTATTAAAACAAATTTGTCTCCAGTTTTATACTCTCTAATCATGATGAACTTCAAAAATTAAGATATATTTTTATTTTATATATATATTATGTTTAAATATCATATAATTTATTAATTTTAATAAAATTATTAACAAAACTTAAATTTTTGAATGAAAACTAGTTCCAGTAAAAAAATTGACATAATAATAAAATGTTATTATTATTCCAATAAAATGTTAGTAAACATTTTTTAAAAAAAAGGGTAGACATATTTTGGTATATTTTCTAATATATTTTTGTTATTAAATGAATTTGATATAAATTGCAATAAAAAAAAAGTAAGACTTTCAAAATTGTTTTATACTGAATAATGTATTTTAGATTTTTCTACAAATAATCATTTTTTATTTTTTATTTTTTTGTAAAAGTTTGAGTAAAGGTTATGTAAAAATCCTTCACAAGATATTTACTTGTTTAGAAAAAAGAAATAACGAGATAGGAAAGTTAAGATCATACTTCACTTTATCACTTTTTTTTATTAGTTTCCTTAGAGACAGAGATGACATTTCTTTAATCTAAACATTATGAATTTAAAAAAAAATAAAAAATGAAAGAGGCTATTTCAAGAAGTCAATTTGGCAAGTACTCCAAAAGTCTGAAACATGAGTCAACAATACATGTAACTTTTTGATTGAGGAAATCCCAGTTAACTGACTGAGGCTTTAACTTCGTTGAGGTTCCATTGCTCTACGTACATTTTCCTGTATACCTTCACACACATGTGGTTTTTCTGAAGTTCTATAATATTGAAACTAACTAGCAAACAATTCCTTGACAACCCAAACGCCGCCTAACAGATTACTACAGCGTAAATTTTCATGCATTACATTTACATTCTTTACAGTCTAAGAAGTACAGTGAAAAGACGGGTACAGTCATCTAGTCATTAAGAAAAGGATATTTGGATTCAACATAGTTTTCTTTGTCCCACAGGAATGATCCAAAAGCCACGGCCTCCAAAACTAGCATGGTCAAGCCAGAGAAGGTGAGTGAAAGCAATTCATCATTGGAGGTTTCAATTGAACCATCATCAGCTACACGGATATCCGGCCTTCCAAACAGGGCCTGAGTTTGCTTTTCAATCAATGATAATGCTTCCTTAGATCGTACGGTGGCAAGTCTCTGAAGCGTCTCTGCGTCCAACTGCATCACATAAGCTCTCAGTCGGAATGATTTGCCGTCACCAGTATCCAAGTAATCACTGTCATTATAACTTTCGTCATAATCACGAACTGTGATCAAGGAATCAGGATCCCAAAGCTTGTTTGTCGATGATGGTTCATCAAAGCTTTTAGCTTTTCCAAAATCCTTCGGAAGGGTTCCCATTGACCTCTCAAGCTGAAACCGTTCATCAACTCGTTTGAGAAAATATCCATACATTATTGAAGCAGCATACAACTTTCCCAGTTTAATTTTACTAATCTGAACAATTGTCTGGAGTGGACCCACAAGTCGGTCTCCTAGTACCAAAGACAAGTGACTCTGTATCATCTCAAATGCCTCTGGAGAATGAACAGCTTCTAGTTTCAGCTCTTGATTAGGCCATAAATCCACTCGACCAGTAGGATCTGAAGTTGCTGATATTTTTGGAATCATTGAAATATTGTTCTCTAAAAATCTATGTACAACTGAGCAGTATATTATCTCTTCCAATGCTGTACGCTTTTCTTTCTCTTTAATTTCAGCTATCCTCCTACAATTTAGATTTGACAAATTGATCACTGTTACACTAACATTAACTAAACCAATAAGCAACTAAAGCAACCAATTTGCTAAACCAATAAGCAACTAAAGCAACCAATTGAAGATGCAAATATGTTACTCTGCTTTGATTTCTTTTAATATTCCAGAAGTTTAGCATGTTCTAACTAATTTGCATTAGCATGAGATGAAAAAGAGACAGGGATCATTTACTTTTGAGTGGGAGTCCACACGTGGTTATATGAACAAAGTAGCTAGTCCTTATAGTTGACAAGAAAAGATCTTGTGGGTATAAACAGTAATGCACTAAGCACGATATCCCTTATTTGTGTGTATGTGTGTGTTTATATAAACAACTAGTGGTCAACTAAAGCTGACAGGAGAATGCACTAACTAATCACTGTACCAAATGGAAAATATGGACTCACTAAGCAATAGATCCAAGTCTTGTTTGGCGACTCTTATATGTTACAAGTGTTGTTGATATTTAAGGTTTTTTCCCAGGCATATAAGACACAAAAGACTTTCAAAGGTAGCTTGTCTAAAAGAAATAGACTTATATTTTATTCCACTAAGCCTTGAACTTTATTAATCATTTCTGCATTTTTTGTAAGGAAGAAATTTAACATGAAAAAAAAGAAAAAGATCATAGAAGGAATCCTAATAATACATATAAAGTATGCAGGCAAATCTTCATGCATCAATTCTAATTTGTAATAAAGAACTCCAGAAAGATGGTATATATTAGGAAAATGCAATATCCAGTTTGAGGAATTGAAAAATTCAAATCAATAACCAAAGCTCAAGGGATTGTATTTGTAGTTAATTACAAGTCATCGAACCTCAATTTCCTATAGGAGTCCTAAAACTACTACAATTTTCTTAAGTTTGCTTTTCCACATAGACATTTCTAATATAATCAGTGGAAAGAAAAAATAAAAATAGATTGTTAGACTTACTTGTAAAGGGAATCATGAGATGAAATCCACGATTCTTTCTGGGCATCTCTAGCAGTCTGAAGGTTCTCTAGTTGCTGATCAATGGCTGCTGGCAGTAGATGAGGATGGGTATTTGAAATTTGTTCCAAGAGTTGGCCAACTGGTGACTCAAATTGGAGAGGAGCAAAAGGTTCCAAATTATCGCTTGAATCTGCTGATGCTCTTGTAACTAAGCCTCTAGCTCGGAAATTGTAGAGTTCGTTGTTGTGCTTAGGATTGTAAGATGAAGGACAGCTCTAAAAAGAACATAACAATTTAGAGGTGCTGAGTCAAGAGCAGCGCAGAGATTATAATTACTAAATCACAAAAATCTATGCCTAAAAATGTAGGAGATAAAACAAGATGGAGCTAAACTAGATAGAAAACCATTGCTTTTCAATGCTGTTATACATAATAAATAGGGGAATTATGACTTCAATTCCTTGGTTGATGGTACAACATGAGCAATTTTTATTCAATTACTTGGTTAAGTTTTTCTCTAACTAAACTTCAGCTCAAAGTGGAATAATGTGGACCTCATCCTCAAGCTTTATTTTCTCAGCAAAAATGACAATTACATAAAAAAATATTAATATTCTTCCATATGTTGTTTATTTCCATATCATGAACCAGTTTGGAAAGACACGCTGCCACATTAAATCTTCAAAAGGCAGCTCCTGTACAAGTCTAAATGACATCTTGTTCAGTTTATCTGACTTTGTAGTGCAAATTTCAAGGTAAATAGCAAGAAGTGAGCACAAAGATATAAACATTGATGATAGGTCAATTGGTGTAAGTATCCAAGTGGACACTATGAAAAGAATACAAGTTCCCTAGTTAAAGGAGTAAAGTTTAGAATAAAACAATCTGGTAAACACAAAAGAAAACGACATAAAATGTAATCAGGAATTAAAAATTCAAAATTATCTACCTATTAATTAAAAATGTACAGTTGCAAGTTGTACATGGGTGAAAAAGTTAAGGATCAACAGAAGTGTAGTCAAGATCACAATCGATATCGCACAATCTTGCAATCTTTACCCGTCTTTGTGATTTAATCGCATATAGGATCGCAAACATTGGGGATTGCACCAGGGTTGCAATCTTTCTCCATGAGGATTGCAGATTCAATCTAATCTTCTGTGCACTAGTTAGTGGGTCAGGTTTTGTCACTCAGTTTGGAAAAAACTCATTTCCCATAGATTTTAATCCAAATTTTGTATTGAGACCCTTTCATCTTATGCGATGATGCCTTCTAGCCATAGGTTAGATTGGTTTCATTCTTTCTCAGTTTCGAAACTGCCTTCGTGCTCTCTGCATCTGTTCTCTGTTTTTTGCAGCCCAAGTGATGCTGCTGCATACGTTTCTGATTCTGCTTCTCTCCTCTTTGCCACTACTTTTGTTCGTGGCGGCTGTCCATGGCTCCTCTGTTTTTTAGGTTTATGACTTTAATTTTCTTTTGAAAAATTTATGCATCACTCATTACTTATTTGGTTAATTGTGAGTTATATTGGATTTTAAGTTTATGAATTCAAGTTTATATTTTGTTAACGTATGTGATTTAAAGGTTTTTTTTTATCCATCCTATTTTCTATGCATATTATACGCTTAAGTATAGTTTTGTATATTTGGTTGGATTTTACAATCCTTGTTATCCTACAATTTACAATCTTGTACACCCCCCCCCCCCTCTCTCGATCCTATGAAGGGGATCCTAATTTTGACAGCACGATACATGAAACCATTTCTTCTCAAATTAAACGTCAGTCAGGCTTGATGCCAGAGGCGGAAAAACACTTGTAGCTGAGTCAACATAACTAATATCTTACTTTAAGAAATTAACACAGCATCGGCAGGTGTATAACAAATTTCGATACCAAGCTTCCGAAAAAAATTCATAGCAATTAACACAGCATCGGAAGATGTAGATAATAATAAGAAAATGAAGATAAAATCATGGAAAGCTTACTTTAAGAAATCCACCAGAAAGAAAATTCTTGGCGTCAGAAACACCAAAAGCATGCAAATGGCGGAATTCTGGTAACCTGAGAGATGCCGAAGGTGGAAGCACCACCAAAACGTCGCTGATAGCACCCGAGACTTGCATTTTCAATATTGTGCCTTTCGCGCTCCAACGATTAGGGCTATATAAAAGAGAAGCCGCCAAGCCCAAGACACACAAAAGGGTTATTACAACAGTTAGCGGGTTGCTAAAACAGTTTGCATGTGATAATGCTTAAATAAATATAATTTTAAAAATACACACAAAAAGAAAAGTAAAAAACTGCTCAGTCCCAAACCAAGAAATTGGGTATGTGGAAATGCTAAAAAAAAATTAGAAAAGCCTCAGTGCCTCAGCTCTCTGTCTTGAGGCACAAATCTTTCTAAGTTCAGTTGACTCTGATGCGATGATGGTACCATCCCAATATGGAACAAATGAAAATTGAAGATGAATGAAAGGAAGGGAAAACGAAAGAAGCTTGTATTAGAGTATTAGCAGGTTCTTACATCTTCTCTTCAAATTCGAAAGCTCGGTTCTTGAAGTTCTTGGCTTGGTGGTGGATTATTCGGAGAGGATGGCACACGGGCACCGCCGAAATTTTGGGATGGAGAGAAGAACACGGATGGCACAACGTGAAACGTGTGTGCGTCAAAAATATTAGCTCCACTGTGGTGTTATTTATTATAATATATTAAATAGATTAATATATTTATTTGTTTAAATAATCGCTCACTGTTTCCTCAATGCAAATTTTATAATAAACAGAGATATAAGAAATTATTTTTTCTCATATATATTAAGAAAATATGTTAAAAAGTTGAAAATAAAAAATAATTAAAAATAATTTTTTTTATTATTTTAAAGTTATAAAAACATAAATTTATATATTTTTATAATAAATTAATTTTTTAATAAATTATATTTAATATTTTTTAACATGTATTATTAAATATGTGTAAAAAACTAATAAATAATAATTACTACGTATAAAAATAACACTTTACTTTTTATAATTATGAAAAGTTACTTTTTATATAATAAAAAAACTAAATTTATCAATACTGATAAAAGATAAGTCCAGTGTTTTTAAGAATCAATAAATAATTAAATATTCTTAAAATTCATTTTAGAACACGTTTAAGAAAATACAAAAGTAAGTAGCAAGTGATAATAAAATTTTATTGAAAATAATATTTATTACACTTTTATAATTTTAATATAATAAATATTTTTTAATAAAATTTATTATTTTTAAATATTTAATCTCAACTTTAAAAATTCAAATCAATAAAACTTATAAAATATATTTTTTAATCAGTATTCTAAGCACTTTCTTCTATATTGTTTTAGAAGTACTAATAGTATTACATGGCTAAATTTTATCTATTAAATGAATTAATATTTATATAGATAATAGATAAATATTTTGTTAGTATAACTTTTATAATAAATAAAAATATAAATTTTTTTAAAAAATATGTCCCTAGGTTTTTTATTTTTATGGTTAAAAAATAATTATTTTTTCTATTCAATTTGTATTATAATTAAGATATTGTTAACTGATATCATTAGAACATTAATTGAAAAATTGATGTTTAGGGAAAAAATTAATTGAAAAATAAAAAGTTATTAAAAATTATGTTAAAAACAATTCAAAATTAAAACAACAATATACTAAAAAAAATAAAAACAGTTCTCTAAAATACTAATTAACATTTACCTAATATTTATTTTATACCTTTATAGGAATGTTCATTACCAGCCTTAAAACGGATTTTAACCATTTAAAATTAATATTATTTAATACATTTATTAATAGATGCATGCTTTTAATGATAAGAAAAAATACACTCAAAATTAACTCTACGGTTTTCATTTAAAAATGATAACTCGGAATGGTATTTGTAATTAATTATGATTATATGATGTCACGAAACTTGCATTTACTACGGATCATATAAATTGGGTTTGGATTAACAAATACATTCGGAAAATCAACAATAGTGTATCGCATGTGCCTGTTGAGTTTATAAAAATCGATAAAAGAAAAATGAGTATAAAATAATTAAAAACATTAATTTTGGTCAAATAAAAATCTATAGTATAAAATAATTTATTATTTAAACCAATTGCATTCATTTAAATTTGAATTTGAAATTATAAACAAAGGTGAAACAAGTTTACACAAGTCATATGTTATAATATAAATAAATAATATCACACATTTAAAGGTGATTTGAGCATGTTTTATTTAATAATATTTTATTGTCTTTATATTTATTTATCTCTCAAATTAACCAACGAGAATCCGCACATTTTTTTTAAGTAAATTTCACAAATTTTTTTAAAGGAGTAAAAACGTAAAAAGATGGGACATTACAAGAAAGAATATGAATAATAAAAAATATAAATTAAAAAAATAAACAATTTTAAGATAAACTTTTATAATTTTAAAAACTTTTTTAAATATTTTTCAGAAATTAATATTATCAAATGTGTTTTTATTTTAACTAAAACGAATATTTTTTAAAACAAAACATAGACTAACATTCAACCATTTTTATTTTTTTTATTTTTTTTTTCAAACACCATCTCCATCTATAACCAAACGAAGCACCGACTTTGAAGGCCCTTCTTTTTCACTTCAAAAAACCCTTAGCACCGTCACGAACCACCGCACCTCCGCGACTCAAACCCGCTGCGAGTCCCCTCTTGTTCGCTGATTACTCCCCTTAACGCCAGGAGCCGAAAGCCTCAAATCACCACTAGAAGACCCAACCTTCTCACTCTTCCCCTATTCTACCCATCTGAACCCTTTCTTCTCTTCGCGAACCAACTTCTCATACTTGAAAACCAAAGGTAAGAATTTCTTCAACTCAATGTTAGCTTCAATTTTCATTTTATTTTGGGTAGTAGCATCAACAACTGCGTGGGATGATATTTGTGCGGCAGCGGTCCGGTTATATATATATATATATATATAATTCTCACTATCATACATATTATAATTATCTCTGCATAGCATACAAAATCAGTTTTCTTTGTTGTTGCCCTAACAGAGCAAATAGTGACTCTCGGCGAAAATGGTGTCTGGGTTAATCAACGCGAACCCTATCATATATGAAAAGAAAGAGCGTCGAGTTCGAACTACTTCATCTGTTCCCCATGACGAGTATGCTGGGGAACCAATCGACCAACAAGAGGTTTTCGATATCCTTTTTCGAGTTTCAGATTTCCTTTTTTTTTTTTTTTCTCTTTTTCCTGTCCAATAATCTGAGTAAAATTGTTATTAGTAACTTGCATATTTCCTTAACATTCTCAAATCATATAAGAGATATAAAGGACCCTGAACACCCGTACTCTTTAGAAGAGCTTAAGGTGATCACGGAGGAAGCAATTGAAGTCGATGATCAGCACAGTTATGTTAGGTACTTATGATTTTATTTTTCAATTATTGAATTTCTAGAATTTTCGGTTCATACTTCATGTGGATTATTGGATGTGGTTTATGGGATGTTTAATTTCCTTGTTTTGTTGGATGGTGACGGTGGTTTTCTTCAGGGTTACGTTTACTCCAACGGTGGAGCATTGCAGCATGGCGACCATTATAGGTCTATGTTTACGGGTCAAGCTCATGAGAAGTTTGCCGACACGATACAAGGTATTATCCTCTTCTTCAAGTTTAGTAACTTGCTCTAATAGTTATACTTAGGAGTTGGAGAGGCAAAACATATTGAGGGATTGTTTTGTTACATGCTTGATGGAAGTAATAATACTTGCTTCACAAGTAGATTGTTACACTGGAGTAACGAGAGAGATAAAGATTAAATGTGTAGTTCATTGCTAATTAATAAGTTGTAAAGTCGACCTATATTTTAAAGTTAGAATTTGTTACTTATGGATTTAAATTATTATTTTTGTTGTTATTATATCATATAAACCTTGAAGAAACTTGTACGTGATTCTCAATTCACAACTAAGCAGTTTTGGTGGAAGAGTAGGCCAAAGTGACGTGAGCATAGCCCCAATACAACATATAAAAAATTGTAGAGCGAGTGAAAAATATGATGGAAACCCCTTGTCTATAGGGGCAACGAGTGAATGGTCTATTTGAGAGCTAGGTAGACAGTGGTAACAAGGATAAAAGGAGAGTGTTTTCCTTGTCACCTATTGGGAATTTGGTGTTGGAATGCTGAACCTGCATGAGGTTTACCATGAATGGTTGGCAGTAAATGGATGACCCTAATTCTTCACCTTCTCACATAAGAGCGAGGGAACAACTAGTAATACTCCTAACTGGTTGAGTTTGTATTTTTAACTAATTGTATGATAGTATATATTGTCAATCTATGGTGTTTCTAAATCAAGGTAGTTAAATCGGGATTCAAATCGTGAATCGAATCATATTTTAAATCGTAAGATTCAAGATCAATAATTTAAACATACAAAACATAAATATAAGAGCATTGTAACATAACAAAATATCTATATATTAATATTTTGAAGTAAATAATATATCACTAACAATGTAACATACACTTGTAAGCAAACTAAGATTGAAATTATTACACTTAGTCACATTACCAAAAAAATGACGGCTCAAATTCAACATATAGTCTTTCAAATAGATAAACAAAAAATGACAGTAAGTCACTATAGCAAAAGTTCAAATAGATAATGAATAATCATTCATCATCCCCAATATTTATGTCACTTAGTTCATCCTCTTTATCTTTCAAAATCAAAAGTGCTTCCTCTTCCATCCCATCTTTAATAATGCCTTCAATTTCATCATCATCTTCGATTATAGATTTTTTCTTCTTATCAGCTTTGGCATTTAAGTTTCTTGGACCTATAAAATCAAAATAATGGAACAAGCATGAGAATATGTATTTGAGTAATTAAATTTTTAGTATTTTTTGTTCAAGTTCTAATTCTAAATCAGCACAAATACTTCTTTTTCTTTTCTTGCTTGGAGCCCCCTCTTCAAAAGTAAAGCACTCATGTATATTTATCCATGAAGCATCATTTGGTAAGCATGGATCCTCTTTTTTTATAAGATCATAAGTCTCTCCCCTCTCTTCTCTACACTTTTGTCTCATCTCTAATTGTAGGTTATATTTAACAAACACAAGTGCATTTAGTCTTTGTTGTTTCAAGCGATTTCTTCTTTTAGTATGCACTTGATCAAATGTACTCCAATTCCTTTAACATCCTGTTGCACTACATGTAAGATTCAAAATTCTCATGGCTACTTTTTGCAACTCTTTATCCTCTCCACTGTAACTCTCCCACTAAAGAGCTATCAAAATTCAAAACAAAATATGTATAAACAATTAGTAAAGTATGTGATGCTACTTATTGGTTTATAATTATTTGTAAAGTTAGCAAAGTATGAAGATCGAAGTGTTACCTAGTTGCTTCTTGTCTCTAGTGTCTATTGTCATATTCATTCCAAACAGTCCTTTGGCCGACTTAAACTTCTCAAGCTGTTGATCGATTAAAAATCTTGTCTTTCTATCTGAAACCATTCTTTCAATGGTTTCATATAAGTCATACAAAACCTCACTATCTGGATTAAAGCTTTTGTCATAAAGGAATCTAACCAAACAATAAAAAAGAATTAGGATGAATAGGCAACTAAATGAAATTTAAGATATTAAGAATGTCTGTTTACCTAGATTGAGATAATATGCAGTTGTATGGAGAGGTATATATATTTGTAAATTTCACTTAGTATCAATAATCTTTCACACTTTCTTATACTTTGACTTTTTCTTTTGGAAATTTTCAGCAATTTGCTTTTTGACTTTATCCATTGCTTCATAAATATATGGCATGACTGGTTTTAAATTACCATCTACAAGTCTAAGTACTTTCACAAGTGGAATTACACACTTTAAACAATATTTGATGGATTTTTAAAATTTATCATCACTTAACACTATGCTCATCACTTGCTTAGCCTCAACTCTATTAGCATAAGAACTAGAAGCAAACTCTTTTGAAACAAACATAGATCTAAATGCATAATGCAATTTAATGTGAGATAAGCAGTTGCAAACTTTGTTACGGCTGGTCTAGCTAACTCTCTTCTCTTAGAATGCTTTATGTACAAATTAAGGACCCATGTATGCCTATATATTTAAGTTATGATTTTCTTTGCATTTGTAATGGTAGCATAGAAAATTGGAAGTTCTCCAATATCCTCTAGAACTAAATCAAGACAATGAGCTGCACAAGGTGACCAAAATAATTTAGTTCTCTTCTTTTCTAACATTTTTCCTGCTGTCACAAGATTAGAAGTACCATCTGTTACAACTTACACTGTATTTTCTTCCCCAATTTCATTTACCATGCTGTTCAATAATTCAAACATTTGCTTGACATCCTTAATTACATCACTAGTATCAATAGATTTTAGAAAAATAGTCTCACTAGGACTGTTAACAAGAAAATTAGTGAGTGACCTTCCTTTCCCATCTGTCCAACCATCACATATCAAAGTGCAGCCCCATTTCTCCCATTCACTTTTGTATTTCTCCAAATTTTGATGGATGCTATTAACTACTTTTTTCAAAAAAGAGACTCTCACTTAATGATAAATAGGAGGTTTGAAACCCCTACCAAATTCTCCAACATCTTTCATCATTTGAATAAAATGAGAGCTTCTAACCAAATTAAATGGTAAGGCATTAGCATAAATGCATTTGCAAATTTCTTGAATGACAACATCTTCATCTTTGAATATTGTATTCATTGTTGTTTGCTTCAAATTTTTAGATGTTCCTCTATTTTCTTTGTTGACAAAAGAATATATACTTTTCTTTTGATGACCACTTACATTTCAAAAAACTCCTAGTTATTTTCACCTTTTTTTCTTTTCTTTTTCTTTCACTAGTTTGGTGAATATTTTCTTTACTTCATCTGGAACACTTGTATAGGCACTTACATTTGCCCTTGTTCCAGCTAGATAATGTTTCATCCTTGCAACTCCACCCCAATAAGAATGAGAACAATATTTGCATTTTACTAATAGCCTGTGCGGAGGGACACTTTCACTGTGTTTCCATGTGTTATCACTTGCTTTTGTGTTTGGTAGGACTTATTTGTCTCCTCCAAACAGCAAACAGCAAGTAGAAAAGAGAGGAGAATTCAAATATAAAAAAAAAGGAACTGTGGCAGAGGGAGAGGGGACCACCAAAAATATTGAATAGGAAGTGAGAAGTTGTGAGAAAAATCACAATAATGACAACAATGCAATAGAGAATAGAATGAACATTGAACTGTGTACGTGAAAAAAAGAGAAAAGGAAAGAGCGGGAATGAAAGGGGAATAAGAAAACAGGGTTTTCTTTTAATATTACATAGTGGGTTTACCAATAGAAACAATCTAAGGTAAAAATCGGCCTTCCTGTAAACAAAATTTCAAAAAAAAAAATTTGATTTTTAAGGGTTTTTACTATGCCCGACCCATTTTTTGCGTTTTGCTGGATGAATTGTGCGCCACTCACAGAATCGAATCATTCGTAAAACGATTCTAGATTCAAAACGATACATATCTTGATTTGTATCGTTGTTGCAAGGATTTGTATCGAATCAATAGAATTGTATCGCGTTTCGTGCAATACTATTTATCGTGTTATAAACTACTTGCTCCGGTCCTTTTTATAAGAAACAAAAGACTAAATCACAAGGACTAAGAAAAATAATTAAATTAATTATGTTTTTCATAAATATAAATTTTATTCAAAAAATACTCATAATATTAAATGGTGTAGTTAATAATTTGTATATTTAATAATACTAACAAAAGAAAGATATAAAAAAAATTTAGCAATTAATGTATCTTGAATCTATCATTTATTTTTTATAATAAGGATCAAGAAATTGCTTTATTTTATTTTTTATAAAAAGTATCGGAGGGAGTATTACATATAGTTCCATGGCTCTCTTTCTCCCTAGTTGAGTTGAGAATAACATGTATAATATTTACTAGTTAATCCAAATATTCAACTGATATTTGAACCCCTATGCTGTTCATGATTTGATTATGATGTTGATAATATTCTTATTCTGGTTAGGTGGATATTAGAGTAGCACCAGGATCTCATGCAACTGAAGCGGCAGGTTTTTATTCCTTACCTTGCTCTCTTTCTCTGTGTCTATATTAATCTAGTGCGCCCATGTTTTCAGTGAGGGTTTTATTTGTGTACTGAAAATTCGGCTCTGTTTAAAATATTGATCTAGGGAAGTCTTACTATTTATGTGATTGCCATTGCCATTTTTTTTCCTTGAAGTAATGCATACTATTGACAGACCTGCTACAACATTTCTGACAGATTTTTTTTTTTTGGGAGTGAAAGACTTCGATTTAGTGATTCATTTTATTTGATGATTATTATCTGTTTCAGACAATAAATTACACCCTCAAACTGTCGATCATGACATTCCTGCTTCCCAATACTTTTTTAAGCATTTTTTTTTCAAATGCAATTTGCAAACCTTCCTACCACGTTAAAACAGGCTTTAAGTCAGTGAATCACTGAAGTTGCCTGACCTTGGTTGAATTTTAGAATTCTCATAATGAATCATTGATCATGACTGGACATTTACACTAATGTATTTTCAATTTTTTGTTGCAATTCTATATGCAGTTAACAAACAATTAAATGATAAAGAGCGTGTAGCAGCTGCCCTGGAAAACCCAAACCTTCAGGATATGGTTGATGAATGCCTTGCTCCATCTTATTATTGAAGAAGCCTTTTTTCTCCTCCCGTTGCAACGAGACTGTAGCTTGATGTTGGTCAGCATTATCTGTTTACGATATTTTCCGGTTGCTGATATATTATTGGTCATGCAATTTGTGCCTACCTCGTGTTGCCAAGCAGTCATAGTTAAATAGGAATACGTAGTTTAAAATATGATAGTAAGATAGCAAGGTTCTTTGATAATAGCTTTAGAAAAGCAAAGGAAATTTTTTTATATGTTTTGAAGTTGTCAGCTCATGTTTCATAGATTAGACTATTTGTTTACCTTGTTTGATTGAACCTATTTTGAACAATTAATTGAGTTTTGAGCTATAAATAAAATGAAGTTGCAAAAGTCGAACATCTCACAAGTGACTACAACTGGCGACGGCAATGATTGAAATATTTATCCACTATTTTACATTACCAAATCTTAAAAGCTTATAATATAACAGTCATGCTAGAAACGTGAGAAATTAATCAAGTTTACATTATTTATTGAAGGTTTTGGTACGACTATTTCAGGTTGAAATTATCCACTATTTTTTGTCAGTTTCATAGCTTTTAAATAATGCTCAGCTCGAAACAAAGATTGAATCCGACTTATTTCAATGGTTTTTGCACATTCTTTTTAGTAAGGTTTTTTTTTTTTTCGTCTTATGTTTAATTAAAAACAGTTTTTATGAGGCTTCACTGGCAGATCTTTATGATGGGCGAGCCAAAAATTTCAAAGTAAGCTGTCACACAAAATTCTTAATCACTTAAATGGTTCTGTTTTACACCGGAGTGTCAGCTTGTTTCCAGCATGCGCAACTTATTAAATTAGATCAATATAATAAGTTGTAAAAGTCTTCGAAGCATAAACTGAGATGTTCCCGAAGGAATAAAATGAGATGTTTCGAGAATGGGTGTTCAAGAATAGGTTTAGAAAGAAACACAACACCCCCCCCCCTCCCCCCCAACACACACTCTTTCTTACTTATTTTTAATGATAATGCATACTAGTGGAAAAGCATTGCATGAGATCTAAACTCAATCAAATAATGCCATTAAAATATGTATATCAACCGTATAACTAAGGGGAGACAGTTGTCTACAGGAATTTTTCCTTCTCCAAATTTGTGTTCAAGTCCATGAAGATATTCTTTGTTACCCATTCTAATATGTTAGAATTATTTTTAAAAATTAATTTTAGTTCAAATATGTCTTGTTCCTGTAAAGATTATTATATTTTGATCTAATCCTCTAAAATTTTTTACTAGTTTTGATTTTTCTAAATTTTAAATTTTTTTGAAAATAAACTTTTGTTATTACTTAGTCATAACGTGATGCGTATCTGATCATATCAAGATAACAGCCATTTTGAGCTAACGTGCGACGTTAAATGTCCAGATACGTGCTACTTTGTTAGTGAGTAATTACGGGGATCATTTTTTCTAATTTTATGAGGGTTAAAACCAACACAAAAGTTGCAAGATTAAAATTGAGTTTAACCTTGTTTAAAAATGTATTTTACTTATTATTTGGATAATTTTTAAAACGATTTAAAAATTGAAAGACTAAAAGTAAATTTGACCATATTTATAAAGACTAAAAATATATTTTTAAGAATAAAGGAGTGTTATTATTATTATTTTGGTGAAAAGGAGTATTATTTAGATAGACGTAGAAAGTGCTAGTCGCTTTTGTTGTTTTCAGTTCAGTTCAGGGTTAATTTTTTATTAATTTAAGAAACAACTAAATAAACATATAAATATGATGGTTGTTGCTATTTTAAGAGAAAAAATATGTACTTCAAAAGTATTGAAAAAAAAATTCTATTCCTTAGATTTTCGGATCTCTGCCAGCTTATTTGATTTGTCATTTATTTTGGAGGTGAACACATAATCGATTTGTTTAGATTTTATTGTATTTTTATCTTTTATACTTTAATGCAACGTGCTTTTGCTCCTTTTAAGTTTCAATTATTTATATTTAGTTGCTCTAGTTTTTCAAATCCTCAAATTAAATATTTCGCTCTTCAATTTTATCTAACAATTAATAAAAAATAATTGAAGTGTGACATTTTATAATTTATACAAATAAATAAAGAAAAAATATATAAAATATTTAAATTATAAATCATAAATTCTTAATTTTAAAATGAAAGAATAAAAAACACATATATATTAAAGTATATATAAGAAGTAAAATTGTAATAAAACCTTTCTCTTATTTTCATCTATTGTCCTGCAAGTTTAGTTATTCATTAAAAATTGATACTGTATCATCTAAAATATAAAGGAAAGCCTTAAAAATGTTTCATGCTAATGGTACATATAACACCAAAAATATGGAAAATGAAAGAATTAACAAAAACAAAGATTAAAGATTGTTAAAGTTGACGAGACTTTTACGTCTTTCGAACACATTGTTAACCTTTTTCCGCTTCAGGAATGATACGTATTTCATTCAAATTTAAAATAAATAGTGTGAAACGATGCAGCTTTTCATATTTTACTCAATACTTGGGATTATTTTAGCTGTCATCTTGTTTTATAATACGCCAAATTAAGTCCGTCCCAATCACGAGGATTTCGAAATCAACCCAACGCGACTTACCTGTAAATAAATCTAAACAAAATATGAAGGGCATTGCAGTGATAACAATGTGGATTGAAAACACAACAATTTGGTTCGAGATTCACGGGCAGAGATATTAAACATAGTTTAAAAAATTCAGAGAAAGATGATTGAGACTTATATATCTGTTTGATACTGTTTTTGTAACATGCCCATCAATATTCTTGGCCGTAAATTCAAAATCAATTTTAACCACTGTTCAGATATTATTAAAGATAAAAGAAACTGAATATTCTTTAGACTACACTTGAAGACAAAGAGTACTCATACTCTTTCGACTATACTATACTTAAAGAATAAAAGATAATCACACTCCTTCAGTCACATTTAAAATTAATTTATTAAAATTTATTAGTCCAGTATTATACCTATAAAAAAAGTAAAAATGATAAATAAAAAGAGACTTTAAAATATAAAATAGTATTTATTATTCTATATCAAACACTAACTTTATTAGTGAAATGTCTTTACAAATATTCTTTTTTCACATCACAATAGAGAAGAATTCAAAATATTTTACAAAGATATCACATAAGAGAATAAGAAAAGAGACTAAAAAAGGATAAGTGTATCATCTGAACATTTCAGGATAATTTCAGATTTAGATGAAATATAGGGACAAATCTTTACATGTAAAATATATTATTGAAGAGAGAGAGAGAGAGTAACATCATCCAGTTAATTCGTGTCTTTTTATGAATGTTAATTCTTACCGATCAGTATTATTGTTATTTTACTGAATTAAAAACAACTCACGAGGTGCACCATAAAATAAAACTACGAAAATGATGTTAGTTGTTCTATGGGTTTTAAAACTCAAGTCACGACAAATTCAACGACTTCGATTCCTATATCCACTCTTTTATTTAACAATTGTTAATTAGAAAATGACCATTTTACAATTTAAGGGGTATCCAAATAAGAAGGGAAAACAAAAAATAATAAACATAACGAATATGTGATAAAGAAAAAACAGAAAGATGTAAAATAAGTATTATTGAGATTGGCAATATGTTTTGCTTTTGGGGTCAACGCTTAATTATTTCATTAGATTAAATAGCAAATCACGTCATTTAGTTGAATGACGTGTATGTGAAATTGTTATGACGTATTTTGAATAATTAAAAGGTAAAATCTACTTTCAAAGTTTCTATCAATAATGTAAAATGATCTACAATATTATAAAACACCAACTCAATGACAACAATCATGTATATAAAATACATTATAAAAAATAATAGGAAAAAATAATTTAAAATTGTTAGCACAACGATAATAAAAAAACTCATATAGAAGAAAGATCAATTTGGTGTTAGCTAACAGATATTAGAAAAGTCATCACACACATGCCTTTACAAATGATGTCAAGGTCTGGAAAAAAAATTTTAATTTAATTTTGAAATTTGAATATAGTGAAAAATACATAAAATAACATAATAAAAATTAAAGAAATCCCATTATATTAGAATATTAACATTAATTTATAATCATATTTATTTGTAAAAATAATAAAATAACACAGATTGCGGACAAACCTCGAGTTAGCCCTTTAATATCTAAGTCCTCATTTATTTTTCAATGTTTTGCACTAATCCATGGATAAATTTATTTTGTTACCTCTACCTAGTGATGACAGTAAAAAAATTATATTGTGTCATTTTTTTTTTCAAGTGTTAATTTGTTTTTGGATCATATATCTTCAAGAATAAAAATATTAAATTTTAAAAAATAGAAAATAAAGATTAAAATTTTGTAAAAATTTAAAAATAAAAAACATATTCATACTTAAAATTTTCATAATAACAACTGTCTTTCTATCTCTTTTCTTACTTTTTCTTTTCTTTTCTCTCTATCGAAACTGAGTTATAAAAAAATTATATACATGTATTATACAATTATCATATCTTTGAGGATAAATGATAGCTACTTTCTTGAATTATTACAGGCAAATTATGCCAATTGTAGCTACTTATGTGACTATTTATCCATATATGTTATAAAAAAATGTTGAATGTAAATTTTTATCAGTTCTATAACTTTACTAAAACAATCAGGCCTAGGCGTCTTTGGTCAAACTAACAACTTGACAATCCAAATCGTTCATAATTATCAAATTAAGTTGAGGACATTTTTTATATTTGGAGTCAGTTTATTTTATTAGAATTAAAAACAATTAACGTGATTCGCCTGTTGCATCGTGTGACTAAATTTTTCACCAATTGGATACCAAAAAATAATAAATACATAATATAGAAAAAATTTCTTTCATATAATAAAAAAGAATTAATTTCTAAAAACTTTCTCACTCAAAAATGTTCCCAAAGATACTCTCTTTTAATAATTAATATTTACAATTTATATATAGTAATTAATTTATATTCACACAAAATAACATTAATACTTTATTTTCAATCATTCAATAATATATTTCAAGTAATTATAGAATTAATTTTACTAAAATATTCTAATTCAACCAATTAATTATAAACTTTCAAATATAAAGTATACATGGCTTTATATGATATCTCCTACTCATCCTTGTGTGAAGTTGAAAGTGGAAGCTTCGGTTGATATAAAGGAAAGGCAATGAAAATGGCATAGCTACCAGAGAGATCGAGGGAGTTCATATGAAGGAACATTGTCAGATGGCTCAATAGAAGTCACTGCAATAAGAGAGGTGTTATCTACTTGAAACTTGAATCATGTTCAAGTAAAAGGAGATTCTTAATTGATCATCAAAACTTGATTTTCGCATCAACTTTGAATTTTTAATACTTCCTTTGGTCTGAATCTCGAGATTAACAGATTAAACGATTTGGATAACACCAGAGCAAGTAGATTTGCACTAGATATTACCTGCCCGGGCGTTCTTATCGCAATTCTTAATTCGCACAATGGCAATGGTTCACCATAGCAATGCAAACATAATAGCAAGATTTGGACGGCAGAAAGAAGATAGAAGAAATACAGACAAGAAGTAGAAGAGGAAAATTGAAAATAAAATTTAGTAATTTGGTTTTATATTTTAAATTTTTTAATGAGTTGTAATTTAGCAAGGGTTTCATAATCTCTGATTTATAAAACTAGATGAGAATCAACTAGCATAAAATTGTTTCATTTTAGTGTATTTAATTTTAAAAAAATTTAAAATAAAATTAATAACGAATAAAGTTTAAATGAGAGTTAAAAGTGAGAAAAATTGCAAACAATAAATACAACTTGTGGTCTAAAAAAACCAATTTATAAAGTTTTAGGGAGAAATGTCCATATTTTAAAACTAAAATTGTTTTATTAAAGAACAAAGTTACACCCTTACAAAAATATAAGGGTTAAAAAAGTATTTACATTTAGACAAATACTTTTAATTTTTTAGCAAAAAAATTAATAAAATTTAATATTTAAATTGAGAGTTAAGTATGAAAAGAATTAAAAATAATAAAGACAAAAAAATTCAGCACAATAATTTATTTTTTAAATCTTCTCAAAATATAAATTATTTAAAATTCTTTATTTATCATAAAATTATCTATTTAAATTTTACAGTATTTTAAAAATATTTTTATATTATCTAAATACATATCCTTAGTAATTTTTGAATTATTTATCAAATATAACTTTAAGATTTTTAAAATAAATCCTAAACAAGCAAGGACATTATGGTCAAAATGGAAAAAAAATCTGCTCCTATAAAGTGGCACTCTCCTTTGAAACTTGAGACCCCAACGCTAACGAAATCTATATTCTTCCTTCTTCCATTGTCCAGAGCTCTAGATTTTGGTTTTTGTTGTTGGCATGGCTGGGAAGAATGAAAAGAGTGGTTGGTCTGTGATGAACGCGGTTAAGAGGGTTGCGGCGAAAATTGAACAGAGGCCAGCTGTGGCACCCAAAACTACAAAGGACCTAGTCCTCACTTTAGCAGAAGCCATCAGGTTCGGTTACGCAGAGACACTGGGTACGTGGCACATCTTGGACTTGCCCAGAGCCATCTTTTACGCCATCACTGAGGAGGTCCGTCAATTTCCATGTTTTGGATTCTTCAGTTTTTTCTTCTTCTTAATTATTATTATGGATACGTGCAAGGTTTTCGAGAGTCCTTAGTGGATGTGAGACATGTACTTGCAGGATAAGAAAACGGTTGCAATTGAATGTGTTGAAAGAAGTGACTGTAAACTGCTGGCAGGCCCGGAACTTGTAAAGGAGCTGTATGAGGTGAAGAAATTGTTGTCACTTACAATGCTTTTTAGCAAAAAACGGTTTCGTTCGTTTTTATCAGCTGCGAGATTCTCCGAGGAGGATGTCATCCTTAGGAAGAGAAGAGCTCGGGTACGTTGGATTCTTATTAATGAAACATGAAACATGAAACAGGCTTAATTGTAATGTTTTCTCTAGTAAGTTAAACTGAAAATGAAATTTGATGTCAGATTCTAAAGCCGGCTTTCACACTCATACGTGACAAAGAATCAAAATGTTTGTTTCTGTTCATCCGGGGAACTCGGAGCTTAAAAGACACGCTGACAGATGCAATTGGTGCTCCCGTTTCCTTCAAACACTTAGTTTCGAGTGATGGTGAGCTTAAGAGCACCACCGTTTCAGGATATGCACACCGTGGTATGGTCGCTGCTGCTCGTTGGATTGCCAAGAGCTGCACTCATGAACTACTCAAAGCTGTTAAAATATATCCCGGCTTCCAAATCAAGGTATCGTTGAACATACTTGTGTTTGAGTTCGGAAGGAAGATTAAGGAAGAGAAATTGGAAATTTATTTTTAGAATAGGTTTGTTTCTATTTTTTTTTTTTTTTAAAAAAAAAATATATATATATATATATATATAATTTTTATCACGTCATTAATTATATGTTTCAATTTTTTTCTCTTTTAGATATTAACCCAAAAAATTCCTTTTAAATTAGGGGAAGTGGCTGGATCGAGGTTTAACCTTTTTCTTTTGTTTTATTTATTTATTTATTTATTTATTTATTTATTTATTTATTATTATTATTATTATTATTATTATTATTATCCCTCCTTTCTTTCTTTAATAAAAATCCCCTGAGAAACAATCCCTGAGATACTTAGTTAACAAGACTCTTAACTAAAATTATGTATTATTTAATTTAATCGTGTAACCCATCCTATATTTTGATCCCTCTTTTTATCATTGAAATTATAATAATCTTTTCATAGATCGTTGGGCACTCGCTTGGTGGTGGTACTGCAGCGCTGTTGACATGTATGCTTAGAGAAATAGAACAGTTCTCTTCAACCACTTGTGTCACGTTTGGCCCAGGCATGCAGTTTACTATCTTCTTTAATTCACGGCTCAAGTTCTAATTTGTTCAATTGAGTTACTAATTCAATACGTTTTGTATTATAATTGAATTATCGTATGATCTTTAGTATCGATCAATTATTTATAAGGATACTTTCCCGAGGTTTGTCTGCTCACCATCGTTGCTGCTAAGTCCTTGTTTTAATTGTTAATTTTCAGCTGCCTCTATGTCACTCGAGTTGGCCGAATTCGGGAAGCCCTTCATCACTTCCATTATAAATGATTCTGACATAATACCTACATTGTCAGCTTCTTCTGTTCATAATTTCATTCTCCAGGTGCTCAAACTAGTTAAGATGGTTTTGGGAAATATTTATGTTAATTGCTTTTATCTGTTAGAAAGTGGTTCCTTCTTTCCTCAAGTTGGTTTTGATTAGGTCACTGCATAATTGATTGAATAATTCACAGGGTCGGACTAAGCATAAAATCGTCCTAAAAGCTGTTCGAAGTTCTATAACTAACAAAATATCACACATACAATTTGCTTCTAAAGCCAAAGCCATTACAGATCATGCAGTAACCCGAGGCTCCCAGGTAGCTTCAAGCTCCCTTGTTCATATTTATGAAATTATTTTGTAAACACTTCCTTTGATGTATACATCTAGAGAGACAAGAGGAGAAGATAGAAAAATAATAAATGTAATGCATGCATGCTATACGAAAGAGATATGCAGAATGTTTAATAGGCACTGATAGAGTTATAGTGTTTTCAGTTCGCAAATAATGGTTTTTATATTTGACATTGGAAGTACTCAGTTCTACAAGAAAATTTATTGTATGGTCACGACTACTTTATGTCTATGATCTCGACCAATTAAAAAATGACGTGTATCATAATTTTATTAACCTTTTCTCTTAATTTGAAAAAATGACTCTCTACGATAATTTCTTGTTCTACATGAATATATTCTATTCCGATTCATAGGACTCTAAGGATATACTCTTGCTGTTATCAAACCACACATAATAAGATCGAGGGCACTATTGATAAAAATGCTCTTCTAGATGTTTCTATAATTATACATATCCTTTTTCATAGGAATTTCTCATACAATGTATCTCTTTTAATTATCTTATAAAGGTTGTGATGAAGCATAGACAAAGAACTCGATCATTGTTGAACTGGACCCGACGAGAGAATAATGGCACGTTATTAAGCTCTAAGTCCGATAACTTGGCTGAAGTTTCTCGATCATCCGAGACAAGCTGTGAATCTCATGTGGAAGCTGAAGAGATAATCATAGGGTCCACGACAGATGAGGACGGATCTAAGTACTCAAGTGAAGCATCTGAAACAGATGAAGAAGATCATACCGTATCTGCTAATGAGGACTTTACTACTTCCTCTGCCTGTAATGTCTGCAGTGACGAGGAAATATTGAAGCAACTAAAGGATTTTGATTTGGAAAAACAAGATAATACTCCTGACATTCATGTTCAGGAAAGAGAAACAACTTGCACAACAAAAGACATAGGTGAAGAAGAGAATCAGGTTGTTAATAATGAAGAAGGTACTTGTCCAGTCATAGAATCAGACAACTCTGGTAGACATCCTCTTTATCCTCCAGGCAGGATCATTCATATTGTCCCTGGACCTTCGTCTGAAAAACCTAATTCAAACTACGATGATCATGATGCGAAACACCTCTATTTATATGAAACACCTAGAAAGTTGTATGGTGAACTCAGATTCTCAAAAAAGATGATAACTGATCATTTCACGAGCAAGTATGTCAAGACGTTAGAAAGAGTAATCTATCAACTAGAGCAAGAACACTTCCATTATGGTGAATGATGAGCCAAAGAGCAGCAAATGGAAAAATTTTAGGTACTCATTGGCTAATGGAGCCTTACAATTATTAAAATTGGACCTATTCATTCTAATTATCATGTTTGTTGTATGTGTGCCGAGCGTGCAGTTAAGTATTTTTCTTATTTTCATCAATTGTTTTGTAAGTTGTTATTTAATTTATTAAAAATTATTCTGTATTATATATTTTTTTTTTCATATACCCATTTAAAATATAAAAGAAACACTTAAAAATGTTTCATGTTAATGATACATATAATGTTAACAACTAAAAATTTGTGATTTTTTGACCAATTCAAAAAATGTGATTTTGTGACCTATTAAAAAATGTAAATTCAATCATAAATAGATTTAGCCACCAAATTTTTTTGGTGAGTAAAATACTAATTGTAAATAAATTTTGCGACTGAGATAATGTTCTATTGCGAAAATTTGAAATTAACAACAGATGTGATGAGTCGCAAAAAAAATATTTGACGGCAAAATGCTGTCCTAAAATTCATGGGCAACTAGAATAGTCATCAAAATTTTGGTTGTAAAATTGGTCACATAATTGTGACCACCAATATTTGTTGAAAAATCTGCAACCTAATATTTTTTGTCATAAAATTGGTTGTGCATATACAACATCAAGTTAGGTGGCAATATTTGTGTCTAATCAATGGCTACCATTTTTGTTCTTTTTAGTGGCTATTTTAGTGGTTAATCTGCCACACTAATTCAATGCCTATTTTTGTTACTACTAACGACCACCTGTTTTAGTGGTTAATTTGGTTGCAGAACAACTACCAATTTTGGTTGCTATTTTTTGCTTGTTAAATAATGACAAATATTTATATGGTAAATTTGGTCGCTAATTACTCATATCCAAATTCGGTGACTAATAAAGATAAATAAATTTTTGAATATTTATTTAAGAAAACCTACTTATTTAACAAAAACCTATTTGTACGAAATAATTTTATTTAATAAAACCTCATAATCCTATAAACTCACAAAAATGATAAAAAAAAAATACATAATTATCTAAGAAGGTCATTATACAATCCATAACAATAGTATATTAAAATTATCAAAATAATTATCTACATAATAATTATAAAAAAACAAAGTCATACATCACGAAAGTAAGTCAATAGCACAAGTACATTTGACCCTAAGTGCAAAGATGGAGACCGTCTCAATGAAATACAGCCTTAGCCTTCCTTCTTGGTTAAATCTTTCCACTCGCCGTTGGATGGTATCTGCAAAGTAGTCAATTAAACATAAATTAGTACATATGTTGTCATCTAAGATTTCAAAATTTACTTGAAAATGAAAAATGAATATTGTTACCCAATATACTTAAAATAGCAAGTAATTCCTAATTTCAATGCCAAAATAGTTCAAAAGAAAATTATATACCTCAAATTGAAGATTAATTAGTTATTGTAGCTTTCCATAAAGTATCACAATTATTAACCTCAACATACTTACAAAATCATCACATATAGATGCTTTGACTGAATTATAAGAGCATGGTGCATTAGAGGTATTGTGTTAGTATGAGCAAACAAGCGTTAAAAGGAGCTACTTTAATGCATTTTGAGAAGATTCATACCCTTAAGAGGCCCCACGTTGTTGATAGCCACAAAAAAACACTAAAAAATACATAAGGGGTTTTCGACTTTTTGTATTGCTAGTATTACAATGTGGGTTCGAGTGAGTCGTGTAAAGTGTTAACAGCCTACAACTGTTTAAACAATGTTTATTTAAAATTAATTAGGTAAATTTATTATAATTTAAAAAATATTTATTTAATTTTTAAATAATAAATTTTATTATATTATTTTGTTATAAAATAAAAAATTATTTATTAACATATTAATTAATATTTAAAAAATATTTTTTAAAATTATTTTAACTTGATGAATGTGTTACTCTTATATACCTTTAGGTGCAAAAGTAAATTTAAAATAACGTAATTTTATTTAAAATATTATGAAATTGATTAATTAAATTAAAATTAATAAATTTTTTTAAAAATTTATTTTAATGTTACCTTTATTTTAAAAAATATATATAATATTTAGATACAAGACTATATATATTATCCTATAATAAATAATATGAAAGATAAAAGAGAATTATTCATTTATTCTATATTCTATATTGTAAATTATTACAGTAGTTAAAGATAAAGTAAAATAAAAAATATATTTTTATTTATAGATGAAATATTTAAATTTATATTTTAATTTAAAAATTTATATTAAAAAAATTAAAATAACGTAAATTATACATAAATTTTGTAAGATATATTTATAATTGAAAATAATATAAATTACACATCAATATTAAAAATATTATATAAAAATAATTTTAAGTGACTAATGCTTAGTTATTTAATTTATTAAAATTAAAAATATTAAAAATAAAGATAATTTTAATTAGTAAATAGAGAAATATTTAAGGAAAAATATTTTAATTAATTAATAAAAATAATTATTTAATTAAAAATTAAAATATAATTTAATAAGTTTATCGATCTAAGATATAATTTTTCTTTTAGTTATAACTCTTTTTTTCAGATTTTTGGGTTGGACAAAGACTTAATTTTATTTTTCTTTTTATTACTTTCTTCCTTTATTTTTTTAACGTTCCTAATTGGGCCCTGTCTTCATCATTTCTTTAACAATTTCCATAGGCCCAATTCGGTAAAAAAACACAACAACTTGAAAGAGGTAACATCGTGCTCCTTTCATATCACGTCCCATTAGGCTATTATTATATATATAAATATATAAATATATAAAATAATATTGCTTAAAAAAAAAACTAAAAAAAGGATCGGGAACCTTCCATCTCGACTCTACCATTCTTCTATCTAACACTAAGAATGCAAAGGACTACCTATGATGCAATATAATTTTACAACATTATTAAAAGTGATATCGTGATTCATATAGATCGGTGAATCATTTCAAATCTGGATTCTATTACTAGTTTACTATGCTTTAATTTTTGTTTAGTTTCCCCCTCTTTCCTTTTTTTCTCTTATTTCTTTTTGTTCTTCCTCCTCCTCCTTCTTTTTCTCTTTCTCTCTTCGCTTCTCTTTATCCTTTAAGTACACTGTTCTTAATTTTCAATCTATCTTTCAAATTTTTTTGCTCCTCTTCCTCTGCAGCTAGCTTTTACCAGTATTTTTTCATTTTCATGAATGAAAGGGGAGTTCTTAATATGGTTTTCCAATCATTTAATGTTTATTGAAAGTCAAATTTATTTTATTCCAAATTTACAAAATCTACTTCCAGTCAGAACCACTTGTGGTTTCATGTATAAATGATCAAAATAATAGCATTACATAGCTAAGCAGCAAAAAACCACTCTTCATTTCATAGAACCAAAGTGAAGTGATTAATCAATTGAATGTAAGAGAGCCCAATAACAAGATGTACTAACAATCTTTAGATGAAAGGTTGTTTCTTGATACTAAAATCTACCAGAACTTTTCCGTCCAAATGGAAAGAATGAATCATAGATATCAATTAATTTGAGTTTTGATTAACTCATTGAATACAAATTATATAACAAAACAATGTACAATTTGTTTTTGCTTGGAAAACAAATCAACAATAAATAGAAAAAAATTAGCATAATACATGAGCTTCAGTATCAAACGAGACCTTAAAGCTGACAACGAATTCTGAACAGATGTGAATGTTCATATTCATATTCTACACTATATATATATTATCTATATTATAATATTTACAACTACTAGGATGGGATTGATAATTGTTTTATTACACGACAAAGGACCAAGTGTGATAACACCATTTTCATCAACATCACAGTAACGTGCACCGTCATAGGACAAAATTGAATCCTTTTTCTAAGCGTTTCAACAAAATAATCTAGTATACCCAATAGTAACATAATAGTAGGCAATAGAGATAATATTACAACAAAAATCAATATGAAAAAAAATGTACAATATATAACAAAGTAACTGAAAAACAATGATAATAATTATAATTAAAAAATAATAAGGATAAGAAGATAAATTGTTCATTACTCTCGCCACAAAATAAAAGGCATATAACATAATTAATTAAAGATTATTTTGACAGTTAAGAATAACTAGGATAAGGAACTAGTAAATCAAACAAGTGTTAAAAGACAAATGCACAATATTTGACAGGAAAATTAAATAATCAAGTTAATACAAATAAAAATATTTACCACTTGAAACACAATATATTTCTCTTTTATCAATGTCTGGACATTAATGTTCATCTTTATCTTGGTAAAATATATAAAAACAAATACTTATTTGTATCACTTAGACTAGAAAGAAAGAAAGAACAATGTGTTGGAATTATTTTATTCCAATAAATAATGTGTGGGCTACATATTAAATATAATAATACATTTATATTAAGTTATTTACGCTAATTGGGCTAATTGCAAGTGATCTGCATCGGGTGAGCCCATTTGAATTACCGTACGAAGTAATGTGGGTCCATATGAGTGGATACCGGGCTTGGCCTATTTCGGTATAGTGGGACCCTAATAGGTGAATATAAAAATAAGCCCCTCTAGCGGTGCTGGTCCCCAATAGACCAAATCAAAAAAAAAAAATTGCCTCTATACTTCTTCCCATCAGGCTCTCAAGTCCCTGTAATTGGGATTACGGCGATTTGGTTGAGGAAGACCATAATACCACCATTCTTGAATCAACTTGCAACAGGAACGGTAATCACTCATAGTGGAGTCCATTACCTAGACTAAAGCTTCCGCTGTCATTTAACTGCAGTAAAAGCGTAATGGACCCGAGTATGTACTCTAATGAATATCTAATAATAAGGTCTATTATTTATCTTTCTTATTGATCTAATATGGATGATCAATTGGGTTAATATATAATAGAGAATTTTCTAACAATTGGTATCAGAGCCAACCATAATTGAATCATTAAGAAAGTTATATTCATTATAGATATT